CCTTAATACTCTCATTTGTGTACCGGTCGCCAAGTTCTGGAACTCGACTTTGGGTGGACATTGCACCGACCCTTTGACGGTCTGGTACGTCATGGCTGGCTTCAACCTCGTCACAGACATCACAGTATTCTGCATGCCGTTGCCAGTCATTGGAAGCTTGAAACTTCCGAAGAAACAAAAGATTATGCTGTTGGCCATCTTCAGCATTGGCTTTTTGTAAGTAACTCAATCGCTTCTGCTGCGCTGTTACTAACACGACCAGGACTTGTGCTATCTCGATTATTCGCATTCGAACACTAAAGACAGCTGCTTCAACAAAAGATCCCAATTGGGATAACGTCGACGCCGCGATATGGTCATTCCTCGAAGTCACCCTCGCTATTATTTCGTCATGCCTACCTACCCTCCGACCACTCTTCTCCAAGCTCATGCCCAGGCTTTTTGCCTCATCATTGGGCCGAAGCAATCGTGCTTCTGGGTATGGCTATACTCGAACACGCAGCAGTCAAAACCTACGAAGTATGTCTCGAAGGCGAACTCAAGACATCAGTCATGACTCCATGGAAGATACATCCACCTTGCGAAAAGATGAAGTACCTCTGCCATCGATTACTCACAAACACTACCGTACCTACCCCGGTGTTAGTGTCAGTATTAAAGCTGAGCAGGGACTGAATCATGTTGATGAGGCAGCGTCGCAGAGTCCAATGGAACCAAGCTCACCGAGTCGAGGCATCAAAGCCACGACTGTTGTTACACAAGAGATTGTGGTAGAGAGACGAGCAGACGACGAATGGAGCCACGGCAGACCAAGTGACAGCGATGCAACTCTTCGAGAATGAGATACCTAATACAGAAATGCCATTCCGCCGCTTCTTTATGAGACATGCATATTATTACCCATCCCTTTAATGTAATCTTAATACACTTTTTGTTTATTTTTAGCATTCACCGTATGTTCTAGACTCTCCAAGCTTATTACCCCAAACTCTCGCTTTTTAGCTGTAATTCTCCGGATTGGGACGTTAGTGCTATGGCGGAAGCCTCGGGCCCTCGGCACGGTTAGCTCAGGTCGACGCTTTCGGGATAGCTACGCGTTCTAGCTCTGGTCTATTCTTGTCACAAGATGGATCGATACGAACCGATAATCGCCAGTATAACCATTAGTAGAACGCCACAAGTCAATGCCGGCTCGTATTGAACCTTAATCGCCTCTCACCGCAATGTCCAAACGTAGGAGGCGAATGTCTAAACGTTTGCCATTCTGTATAAATAGTGGCTGTCGGTCAACTTATTTCAACATCACTCTCAACTTCTCAAGCACTTTCTCTCTCATCTAAAGACTCTCTCAACTACCAGACTCTCTCATCTCAAAAGATATTTTCTCACTCGCCAAAATGAAGTTCAGCATCCTCACTGCCCTTACCGCCATTGTCGGCAGCGCTGCCGCCGCTGACCAGGCTGTTGTCAAGAACGACTGCTCTGGTACCATCTATGTTCAGTCTTGGCCTTATAACGGCGCTGCTCCTGGACCTCTTGTGACCCTCAAGCCCGGACAGAAGTTCTCTGAGAACCTCCGCTCTACTGGATCTGTTCGTATCCCTCCTTGATTGCTCCTTGCCTGGACATTTAAGCTAATAAAACTCCTCAAAGACCGTCAAGATTGCCACCACCAAGACTCTTTCCAACCCTCTCTTCTTCGGCTACTCCTCCACCTCCAAGCCCAACTACGTGTACTACGAGTTCAGCACGTAAGTTCAAGTACTCTGTCACGGTCTTAATGTTATACTAACAGATCTAGTCAATGGGGTAACCCCTTCGCCAACAAGCACAACATCCTCACCACTGGTAAGGGATGCAAGCAGTTTGACTGCGCTGCTGGCGATGCTTCTTGCTACAGCACCCCCGGCATGAAGAAGGTCTATGGCTGCCCTAGCCCTGCCACTATCACTGCCACCATCTGCGCCAAATAGAGGACACACTAGACAGGACCCTTTGAACGGAGAGGTGCGCTATTGGGGGGAAGGTGAATAGAGAAATGTATAGATCTTATTGGTTAAGTTAGTATTGCATATTGAATAATGGAAACACTTATCCCGACACGAAATTGGCATTCGCGAGTTACATGTAATGGCGATTACTACGGAGTATGAACCCAAAAGGAATAAATAGTAGATACAAGGGTAGATGAAAAGTCATGTAACACGTTTTTCGGGCGTATTACACGGTCGATTTACTTCAAGCACATATCCTATGATATCTATCCCCTTGTTTTGATATAATAGTTGGAATACACTTGATCAATGTTTCTCAAGCTAAAGACTTATTTCCTCTCACAACTTCCAGAATGCATCTGTCTCACAGTAACCAGCCTTAGTCTTGATACATTTACCATCCAAAACCCTTAGACTTGAGCTCATTCGCCACTTGCTCAGCCACCAGCTGGTTAATAGCAATTCCAGGGTGGTAATCATTGAACCATAGCTATCGAAATTTCAGTATAAGGAGTCTTCAGTCAATGAAGGTTACTCACGCATGACTTCCCATCACTGTTGTAGCAAGTCGCATCAGGTGCGCCATAAGCCTTAGGGTTGTTAATGGCCTTCTTGAAGGAAACAGATGTATCAACAAGAACAGTCTTGGCACCAGAGTTGGCTTTCTTGAAAGTGCTAAGCTTCGAGGCCAACTTGCTGTTGTAGAGCTTGATAGCCTTGACGAGAAGAGCGTTCGAATCAGCGCCTTGTTGGATCATCAACGGCGTCAACTCGGTTGCTAGATACATCATTAGCATGCAAGTCTCAGAACACTATACTCCCCAATCACTCACGTGGAACGCTAAGCAGCACAAACTTGCGCAGACCAGCATTGTATAGAACCTTCAGCAACTCAAAGTATCTCGTAGTAGCCTTCTCAACCACTGCGTCTGCATCTTGCAGATAGAAAGAGTTTCCAACGTCATTAACACCGATCCAAACCCCTGCAATGGTGTTCTGCGCTGTCCACGACGTGCCAGCTGGATGCTTGCCAACAGAGTTGGAGAACTGATTGACTTGGTCTACAAAACTCAAGACAGTGCTTGCATAGGGCTTGACGATGTTGGCATCGACTGTAGCGCCTCCGTACGCAAAGTTGTATGATAGAACGAGGGAGGTGTTTTGCTCTTTGACCATGTCGCCGACCCAGTTTGCTCCACCGGCTGCTGTCCATCCTGGGAATGGGGGGTTGCCGAGGGGGTTTGCGGCGGAGGGCTGTGCGCCGTTGGGGTCGAAGCCAGTCTGGGAGTATGAGTCGCCACTAAAACACGTCAATTTGTGGTCTGCAGATGTGTCGTTCACGGACTCACAAAGTAAAGAGATAGCTGATGCTTGACGCTGCGTGGACTGCGGCGCTCTGAACCAAGATGCTGCCCATGGCAGCAACAAGAAGCTTGGACAGCATGGTATGAGACTCAACACAAAAACACTATAATTTGAATAGTCTGCCAAGACAATTTATCCAAGCTTGTAAGTTTCACATGGCAACCAACGGACTACTTATATCTACTCAAATCCACGTTTCAGATCCAGGACGCAACCTCGTTTCCCCATCCCACAAATCACAGGCTGATCTTGTGACCAAGGAATGTCGACGGAGGATCTTGTTTAAGCATAATGTCTGGAAAGGGATAGACGGAGGTGGTCCGAGGAGGGGTATATCATATTTGGACGGGAATCGCAAGAAATACCATGATGGCAGCATGCAGATCATTCATTGAAGCCTTCAGTTGAGAGCTGTAATTGGTACGGAAGAATATTTTCCGTGGACAGATCTGTGCGTTCCCGTCGGTCCGGTCTTGATATCGCTTAGCTCATTAAGTTGCATGATATAGTATAGAGGTTCATTAAAGGAAGAGCGTTAATTGTTTCTGCCCGAAAGTCGTTGCAGGTTCGTGTGTGTAGTCCAACTTCATGGATCCGTTGATTAACGGCGCTTTACCTTTGTAAGATCTCGAGTCCACGAGTCAAAATCAATAACTCCAGCAGGCACGTGGGTTTTGGCTTTGGGTACGCCTTCAAAAAGTTAGATATTTTTTTTGACTTTCTGTTAGTAAATAATACAGGTTTTGGGTCCTGAAAGTTATGCTTAGATATGGTGGCACGTTGTTGGTATGTCAATCAATGTCATCTCAGGTGTTTGATGCAGGGTAGCTAGCTGTCTTCCAAAGCTGTTGTTAAATCGTCCCTCTATATGAACCAGGTATCTATCTGTAATCTCAGAGTAGTGCGATATCTAGTCTGATAAGATATACATTCTAGCTTCCCTCTAAACACATTTCTGGCAGCTCGCGAAGAACGTGCAGCTCCGTTGCAAGTAGGAGAATAGTGACAGAAAAGGCTTAACTTGAAATAGGGGCCAGTTGCCGCTAATCTGTTAGTGCTTTCTTTCACCCTTGGTGAGCCTGGTTGGCACTTTTGAACAAACCACGCAGGGATCCATACACAAATGCGGGGGACTCACCATACCAACCAATAACCACGCATAAATTACTAACATCTCTTCTGCCGAAAAGCCGTGATTTATGGAGTCCAACCTATCAACAAATAAAAACCCCCAACAATGCTCTTTACCACGTGGAAGCGGCCCTGCAACACATTGGCTTTATCGCATCAACCCGAGGCTTTAAGCTGAATACGTTATTATCGGCCGAGTCTTTTTGCCAGGAGCTTATCTTAGTCTGCTTATCACGTTTCATCTTGATTGGGCCAGAGCGTTGATTCACAGGGGTAATGCTTAAGCTAAACTTGTTACTGCTACCGGCGAGAGCCGTCAGATCCGATTGTTGTTAATGTTTCTGGATTTGGTGATGATTTGAGATGACGATCCGGCAGCTGAGTGCCGATCAGATGGGGAGTTCCGCGATGATAGGAATTATACATATATATCAAGGTTGCATTTGAACTAAGAGGAGTTGACAGGTGTAAATTCTTTACTGTTCTCATTACCGACTCGCTAGGTACATCATGAAGTCCCTCACAGCCCCCAGCCTCCTGGCCGCTCTTCTCACGACACCCGCTCTCTCAAAGCCCGTCGTCGATGAGAAGTATCCCTACAAGGGCCCGGCAGTCCCCGTCGGCGATTGGGTCGATCCCACCGTCAACGGCAACGGAAAAGGATTCCCTCGTCTCGTTGAGCCTCCCGCCGTGAAGCCTGGCTCTTCAAACCCAAGCAACAACGTCAATGTTATTTCGACGTCGTATACTCCTGGCGGCATCAACATTCACTACCAGACACCTTTTGGACTCGGTGCTGCGCCGGCTGTTCATTGGGGGACCAGCGCGTCTGAGTTGAAGAATAAAGCTACTGGGTCGACTACTACGTAAGTTCCCGCGTCTTGGCGCATGAGAGCTTACCCGATTTGTCTGCGCGCTGGATCGTCATTGGATCGGCTTACTCACTCTTATCTAGCTACGATCGCACTCCTCCTTGCTCTGCTGTCAAGGCTGTTACGCAGTGTAATCAGTTCTTCCACGATGTTCAGATCAGCGACCTCAAGCCTGGCACGACTTACTACTATCAGATCCCTGCTGCCAACGGCACCACAAAGTCTGATGTCCTTAGCTTCACTACTGCTCGCGAAGCAGGTGACAAGTCAGAGTTCACCATCGCTGTTCTCAACGATATGGGCTACACCAACGCCGCTGGTACTTACAAGTATCTCAACAAGGCTGTTTCTGATGGCGCTGCTTTTGCTTGGCACGGTGGTGATCTGAGCTATGCTGACGATTGGTTCTCTGGCATTCTGCCTTGTGAGGATGACTGGCCTGTTTGCTACAACGGAACTTCAACTGAGCTTCCCGGCGGCGGTCCTATTCCCGATGACTACAAGACTCCCCTTCCCAAGGGCGAGGTCGCTAACCAGGGAAGTCCCCGTGGTGGTGACATGAGCGTTTTGTACGAGTCGAACTGGGATCTTTGGCAACAGTGGCTCAACAGCATCACCCTCAAGATTCCTTACATGGTCGTCCCCGGTAACCACGAAGCCACCTGCGCCGAGTTCGACGGCGGCAACAACACGCTCTCTGCGTATCTCGACAACGACAAGAGTAATGCCACCCAAGCCAACATGACGCTTAACTACTACTCCTGCCCTCCCTCGCAGCGCAACTTCACCGCGTTCCAGAACCGCTTCCATATGGCTGGCGATAAGTCCGGCGGTGTTGGCAACTTCTGGTACTCGTTCGACTACGGTCTTGCTCACTTTGTGTCTATAAACACAGAGACCGATTACGCCAACAGCCCTGAGAAGCCTTTTGCTGCGGATCTCAAGGGTGATGAGACGCATCCTTTGGCGAATGAGACTTATGTCACTGATTCCGGTCCTTTTGGTGCTGTGCATGGTTCTTACAACGATACTAAGAACTATGAGCAGTATCAGTGGTTGGCTAAGGATCTTGAGAACGTTGATCGATGCAAGACCCCTTGGGTTATTGTCATGGGCCACCGTCCTATGTATAGTTCTGAAGTTGCCAAGTACCAGGTCAATATCCGCGCTGCTTTCGAAGATCTGATGCTGAAGAACAACGTCGATGTCTACATTGCTGGGTAAGCCAATATCTTAATCATCAAGATCGTGCACTAATACTCGACAGTCATATTCACTGGTATGAGCGTCTTCAGCCCATGGGCCACAACGGCACCCTCGACTCTGGCTCCATCATCAACAACAACACCTACAAGACCAACCCCGGCAAGTCAATGGTCCATCTCGTCAACGGAGCCGCAGGCAACATCGAGAGCCACAGCGTTCTCGACGGCGAGCCTCGTCTCAATATGACCATGTTCCTTGACCAGACTCACTTTGGTTTCGCCAAGTTGACTGTCCATAACGAGACTGCGCTCTCTTGGCACTTTATCCACGGTGATGGTGGTGTTGTGGGTGATGAGCTGACTGTCTTGAAGGAGAGTGCTTCGAAGTGCACTGCCGCTAGAAACTCTTCATCTGGAGGTGCGAGCGGTACAAAGGCCCCGGTTGCTACACCTACTAAGGCTACTAGCGCTGGTACCAAGACATTTGTCTCTGGGGCTCTTGGCCTTCTTGTTCTGGCTCTGGCTTTGTAGAGGATAGATATAGATGGTACCTTTGTTCTTAGACATTCATCCTCGAGAGGACTTGTGACACCTAGTCACATAATTGAATTGATTTCTGGTCTTAATTGGGTCGGTCATATGGCCTCGGACCTTGAGCTACGTGAAGTGATGTATTAATAAGAGAGGAACAATAAGACGCAGTATCACTTACCTCTTGGCGCATGCATTACAGTACCTGTAAGAATTCATGCGTCCGTTTATGTTATCTTTCTATATACCCACTATACCTCGCCAGCTGTCATGATCTCTTTCGTCACAGCCCAACTACTTTTGGCCCAAGAACTAACGCCGCATACGTCAGATCATCTGTGCAACACGGGATGCGACAAGAACTTCCCCAATGAGGAACACAAAAGGGTGAACATGACGTAGATGGTGCCGGATCAGCTCGGCAGATACTGAGCTAAAATGATCTTGGCAACTTATAAGGGCAAGATTTTCGCTTACGCCTTGGTAGCTGAAAGCTGATGTCTCACCTTGGGCAGATCGATGATGCCCGTCTGACTTGAAAACAGATAATATCTTATGACTGCGCTTCAATAAATTCTCAAGTCTTAGTCTGACTTTCTCAAATTTCTCGTGCCGGACGCTGCTGTAAATCAACTAATCCCTTATCCTGCCTTTTGCCACAAATACTGCCATGGTCATCATCGTCACCGGGGTAAGCGAGCCTATGGCAGTGACGCAGAAATGCAGCTAATTTTATCGAAAGGGTGCCGGGTTCCTCGGCTGCAATTTAATCCAGCTGCTTCTCGAAAAGAACCACGAAGTCGTCGTGATTGATTCACTATGGACTGGATCTCAAAGCACCCTCGATAATTTCCGATCGGACAAGCGAGTGCGATATATTCAGTGCGCTTAGGTGATTGCAATACATTATTTCAGTGCTAATATTTTATAGCGCTGATGTACGAGATCCGTTGCCGTGGATAGACAACGTCGAGCAAATCTATCATCTCGCGTGCCCTGCGAGTCCCGTGCATTTTGAGACTCAACCGATCGATATCTTGCAAACTTGCTTCAATGGCGCATCGAATGTCTTGGACTATGCAGTGAAACATAACGCTCGAGTGCTACTCGCCAGCACATCAGGTACGAGTTCTCGCTTTGACAAGTAGCTATAATGCTAACTGGCGGTGGCCTCCAGAAGTCTACGGCGACTCACAAATTGCCTGCCAACGTGAAGATTATCGAGGCAACGTCAACTGCTTCGGCCCACGCGCCTGCTACGACGAAGGTAAGAGAGTCATGGAAGCGCTTGGGTACGCCTATCAAGCCGAACACGGTCTGGAGGTCCGCATTGCACGAATCTTCAACGCCTACGGCCCATTCATGGAGCCAGAAGACGGCCGAGCAGTCCCCAACTTTATCATGGCAGCTCTGAAGAGAGAACCAATTACGATATTTGGCGACGGACACGCAACACGATGCTTTCAACACGCCAACGACTGTGTTCGTGGTTTAGAGGCTCTCATGAACAGTGATTATCATGGACCAGTCAATATCGGCAGTGATCTGGAGATGGAGATTAGTGAGATTGCGGATATAATATCTCGCGTTGTGGCGGAGAAAACAGGATATGAGGATCCTGTTGCTGTTCAGTTGTTGCCCAAGAGGGAGGATGATCCTATTAGGCGGAAGCCAGATACGAGTCTTGCTGAGAAGGTTTTGGGCTGGAAACCTAGGGTTTCGTTGGAGGAGGGAGTAGCTTTGACGGTTGACTGGTTTATTCAAAGAGAGAATGGCATTTCGAGCAGGCTCTAGAGAGATATAAAGCCTCTCGCTTATGAATAATGATATATTTGACTTATGTAGCCTCATTGTAAAGTGGCTGCCAGTGTTGTATGACTGTTGGAGTGAGAACATGGATTAACTCTGCCCAATACCTCAGCGCCGTAAGACCACTCATTAAGCATGTATAGAGTAGCATTTCATCTTAAACTCGTATTTAACCCAAACTCAATTCGCCGTGCCTTACTCTGTACTCCGTATGTGACATGACATGACATTCTTATTGGAATGGAGGTCGATCGGAATATCGGATCGGGTGCCTCCACTACTACCCTATATTATTATATTTTGAATCAAAACCATTTTGATTCATCTTTGAGCAAAGAAACAGCTGCCTAACATAGTAAAGATACTCTCAAGATAGTCACTTGCATATACGAGATAGAGCATTGACTGAGGCATTTAAAATGCTTATCACCTCAAATAAACCACTGTCAACAAGACAAGTGGCATAAGCACAAACACTTTCATTCAGTGCACGGCCATAAGGCTTATTCCCCAGCCCAACATGCCCATCCCACCGAGACCCGAAACACCGGAACGATCGGATGCCCGCCGAGTCAGCGCCAGCCGCTTCACAAATGCCGAACATAATCTCACCACCAAAAAAGGAACGCTACAGAATTGCCGTGATCTGTGCGCTTTAGACTTTAAGGCTATGTAACCCGGACCTATGCGCTCTCACTGGTGGAAATTTGAAACCTAGGGCGTCAAAGGGTAATTAAACTCTATAGCAGGTACTAAATACGCGGTGAAACGCTGACGCGCTCATCTTCTAGAAAAATGTGCTTTTAGCTTCTAATTAAACTTAATTGACCAAAAGGGACGGGCGGCACTGCGTTAAGGGCGCATTTAAACCGCTGCACCGCGCCATTTTTTCTGTATTCTAGCTCATCAACCTCCAACGGTCTTCATTCTTTCGTTTTCCCTTGTTTTGCAAATACCTACATTCCTTTAACCAAAGTCACTCATTTCTCACTTCTCTGATCATGCGCGTTACTACCCTCCTAGGCCTGAGCGCCTACGCCGTCGCCGAGGCGAGCTGTTCGCGCAACATCATCTACTACGACCAGTGGCACACCGCGGATCTGCCCCCCAAGGACATCACCCACAGCGTCACCCACGTCATGATGACCTTTGCCAACTCTTCGCTCTTCACCACTGAGCCTGCTGGCAAGTACGAGCCTTTCCAGCCTCTCAAGCAGGTCCGCGCTCTGTTTGATCACGACGTCAAGGTCTGTATGACTATTGGTGGCTGGGGCGACAATGCCGGTTTCGACGAGGCTCTCAAGACCGACAAGAGCCGTCAGACGTTTGCTCGTGGCGTTGCTTCTAATCTTGATAGACTCGGTTTCGACTGTGTTGGTATGTGTACTAATTATACATGACAGTAATGGAACATTTGCTAATATGTTCAGATATCGATCTGGAGTACCCTGCTGGTAACGGCGCCGACTACAAGCAGGTCGTCAACTCCAAGAAGGCCTACGAGATCAAGGCCTTCCCCAAGCTCCTCAAGGAGATCAAGAAGTTCATCGGCTCCAAGGAACTCTCCATCGCTGTCCCCGGTCTCGAGCGTGACATGATCGCCTATATTCCCAGCGAGACCCCTCTCATCGAAAAGTCCGTCGACTTTGTCAACGTAACCACTCCCTCCCTCTCAGCCCTATGAAAACCACCTACTGACGCATCTTAGGTCATGACCTACGATCTCATGAATCGCCGTGACCACTACACGACCCACCACGTCTCCGTCAAGGGAGCCACCCGTGCCATCGACAAGTATCTCTCCCTCGGTTTCCCCGCCCACAAGCTCGTCCTCGGCATCCCCTTCTACGCCAAGTGGTTCACCACCAAGAGTGGCTACAAGTGCACCAACCCCATCGGCTGCCCTACTGAGCTCCTCGAGGCCGCCGACGGTAGCGACACCGGCAAGTCCGGCTCTACGACTTTCGAGGCTGCCAACTTTGCCTCTGCTCCCGCCAACGTGACTGCTACTCCTGATGCTACCTGCGGTGCTGGCACTTTCTTCAAGTGCGCCACCGGATCTTGCTGCGGCGCTTCCGGCTGGTGGTAAGTATCTTCTATATTCCTCATATACATCGGCTAACATGTAACAGTGGTGATACCCCTGCTCACTGCGGTACTGGCTGCCAGTTTGGTTACGGAAAGTGTGATGGCATTGATATCTCCGCTTCATTCCAAGAGGCTATGGAGAAGGGCAAGACTGACAAGGTCAACGGAGGACAGTGGTACTGGGATGGCCCCAACCGCATCTTCTGGTCCTGGGACACCCCTGAGCTCATCACTGAGAAGATCAACCTCCTTGCCAAGACCCGCGGTATCAAGAGCGTCATGGCCTGGGCTCTCGCTCAAGACAGCCATGACTGGAGCCACCTCAAGGCTATGCAGCAGGGCTTCGACCGTGTCAACGCTTAGATACCTGGTAGCTGGGCTCTCGGGGCCAAACCATAGACTCATAGAATAATAGCTGGGGTGTGAGGTCAACAGATTTATCTAGTACTGCAATAAATGAATCTTCCCTGGTGTACTTTACTACTTGCGACTTGCGATATATGTTATTATGTTTTGTAATAATCGTGAATCCTGGATTAATGACTATATTGATAAGCTGGCAGTGCTAGAGCCCTTATACTGTCCCCCTCAATTAGACCTAGCCTGAGATTTCGACCCGGCTAGTTGATGTGATTTTAATCCATGATCTCAAGATGTTGAAGGGTCGGCTATATTACTAAATCAGTCGCTGACTCAACTTAGGGACTTTGGTCGAATAACATCCATTGGCGAGCCTGAGCCATCAGTATGCTGTGGAGCCATTGGTGTCATATCGTCAGCCCTAATCCATATTGGCATTGGAGGTGCAACACGTCTGAGGGATAAATACTCGACGTGGTCGCTCTCTGAGTGATGAACTGCTGGCTCTCCTCAATTGCCTTGCATCGATCTCAACTTGTGACCATGAGTTTCCCTGATGAGCAAAAAGTTGACTTCCAGGTACGCATGACTCCCTCTGGGTGGATCTACGGCTCCCTGACTCTCACGGAAGTCTTTTCAGAACGTGATAAACAACCAGTTAAGCTCCACCGCAGAAACGCGACGCGGTGTCTGCCCTAGTACCGAGGAGCCTCTCTGGGAATCACCAGTATCGACCCAAGATGACGTGGATCGAGCTGTAAGCGCTGCGAAAGCAGCATATCCTGCGTGGCGAAAGCTATCATGGGATGAGAGCGCAAGCTACCTCGTCAAATTTGCAGATGCTATTGAGACGCACAGGCAAGAGTTCATCGACCTTCTAGGCCGTGAAGCTGGCAAACCGCCCCAGGCCGGTGGCTTTGAGCTTATGCTTGTCATGGAGCATGTTCGAGAGACGCCGAAGCTGAGGGTCAAGGGAGACAAGCCCGAGGATAATGAAGATGTAAGTGTTCCATTGTAATTACTTTAATACAGGGAGACTGATGATATGTACAGAGAACAGCCGTTGTACGCTATGTCCCTCTCGGAGTCGGCGTCGGCATTGTTCCATGGAACTTCCCCATGTTGCTCGGCATTGGAAAAGCATACCCTGCCATACTGGCCGGCAACACGTTTATATGGAAGCCATCGCCGTATACACCATACTCAGCTCTTAAGCTTGCAGAGATTGGAGCCAAAGTCCTTCCTCCAGGTGTATTCCAAGCTTTGAGCGGCGGTGACGATCTTGGACCTATGTTGACTGCTCATCCTGGTGTAGCAAAGGTGAGTTTTACTGGTTCTACCGAGACTGGCAAGAAAATCATGGCGGCTTGTGCTGCTACATTGAAGCGTGTCACTCTTGAATTAGTCGGGAATGATGCTGCGATTGTTTGTCAAGATGTCGACATTCCTGCAGTCGCTGGAAGGTACATATCCCTACACCTTACCCAATGGCAAATGGTTTACTAGCGAGCTGATAGATCGCATTTCTGGCGTATGTTCATAGTGGCCAAATCTGTATGAACATCAAGCGCATCTACGTCCATGAGAGTATCTACGACAAGTTTGTTGCTGAAGTAGTCAAGTTCCTAGAAGCCCTCAAGACCGGCGACTTCACCGACCCTGAGGCCTTTTTTGGACCCATTCAGAATAAGATGCAGTACGAGAAACTCCAGCGTCTCTATAAGCAGGTCGATAAGCAAGGATGGAAGCGTGCCTTTGGCAACGTGTCAGCTACAACATCGGGAAAAGGGTACTTCATGCCCCCTGTTCTCATCGACAACCCAACTGAAGATTCAGAGATCGTGCAAACTGAACCATTTGGTCCAATAGTCCCTGTTATGAAGTGGAAGGCCGAAGACGATGTCATATCCCGGGTTAACGCATCAAACTATGGTCTTGGGGCGTCTGTCTGGAGTAAGGACGTCGCTCGTGCTCGACGAATGGCTGAGCAGTTGGAGGCTGGGAGTGTTTGGGTCAACACGCATTTCGAGGTGGCGCCGAATGTTCCGTTTGGGGGACATAAACAAAGCGGTATTGGCATGGATTGGGGAGAGGTCGGTCTCAAGGGATGGTGTAATCCTCAGGCTTACTGGGTGAAGCATTCTGGATGATGGAAATAGATATTACGAGATGAGATCTATAGATAAGTACACGATTAAATACGATGTAGATGATTGAGATGAATGTTTGAACCTCTCACTATTCGTCCTTCATCACCATCACGACGACCTTTCCCTTAGTTCGACCCGACTCAACTTTGTCCCAAGCATCCTCAAAATCCTCGAGACCAACCACGCTATCAATATGCGGCTTAATTTGACCTGCTTCCAGGAGCTTAGTGATGACATCTAGGTCCTTGCCCACTGGGTCAATGACGAAGAACAAACTATTGACTTCCTTCTTGACATCCTGCGGACGATTCTGCTCTGGTGGAGCACAGACGCTGACAAGGGTCCCTCCCTCTCGGACTGCATACCACGTCTGAATCAGAGTAGGCATACCGATACAGTCGAAGACAAGGTCGAACTGTCGAGATGTGGGATCTTGGGCAACCCAATCTCCGATGCTCTGCTTCTTGTAGTCGATGGTCTCAGTCGCACCAAGTTGTCGAACGAAATCGATATTCTGTGTGCCAACAACTCCCGCGATGGTCTTGACGCCAGCGATACGAGCGAGCTGTACAGCCCAGCTTCCCACTCCCCCAGCAGCACCATTGATCAAAACCCGGATCTTGCCGTTCTTCTGCCGCGCAGCTTCGTCACCCTTCAGAGCCTCAGGATCTAAACCTCCCCTTGTGAACAGTCCCTGATATGCAGTAAGTGCACTAATAGGACTCGCCGCAGTTTCAGCCCAGGTCAAGTTCTTAGGCCTGATGGCAAGCTCAGATGCCCGGGCGAGGACATATTCAGCACCCGCGCCAGGACGGTTGGCTTCAATACGGGCGTAGACCTCGTCGCCGGGTTTGAAGCCGCTATTCTCTGGGGCTGAGACGACGGTTCCTGCGAGGTCTTGGCCGGGAATGGGGATCTTGTCTCCGATGAACTCGGGTGCCCAGAGAGCCCAGTCGAGTTCACCTTTGCATGGACAAGTGGCGTGGACTTGGACGAGGACGTCTTGAGGATGGGTTGGGGAAGGGACGGGCTGTTCTGATGAGAGGATGAGTTTGTGGGAGTGCTTGTTGGGCTGGAGGATAGCCTTCATCGTAGTTGGGAGATCAGGTGATGCCATTTTATAATGAGTATAGAGTACTGTGAGATATATTGCTGTTTTGTTGGATACTGAAGATGATGCTTGATGATATGTTTGAGAATAGTGACAGCGATACCAAGATATATAAATACTGTAGTGGCTTACAAGTATTAATACCCAACGTTATACTATCCTCGCCTGATTCCGGAAACTGTATCTCTGCAACTGTGATGCCCGAAGCCAGTCAGCGACGGACGCCACTCAACGGTTTCCCGTGTATCGATTACCCGGATACCCGATGTCAGCCCGCATGTCCAGCAACCCCAAAAGCCTGGCCATGCAGCATCACAGCCAATCATATGTCTTGAAATGCTCCTCGGAGAAGCACCATCGCCTGTTTGTCAGCTCGCCCTCGCCTTGGTAATAACTTAAAACGCAAGGTTAATAACCGGCCGGCTTTCTCCGATGCTATACGTGATTGAATTGGCAGTGTTGTAAAGGTGCTTGCGACTAAACTAGTTTGATGTCATAAAGCACGATGTGGACGAAGACAGCCCGTATGCAAATATATCGGAATAAAATAAATCTATAATCTACCCAGACCACCTAGAATGTACCTGTGCCATTTCAATTACGCACTTCTTGCAATCTCACCAGCCTTCCGGTGCATCAGCCTCTCCCATTTCCTCCCGACATGTCGGTGAGCCTTATCCCATCCGAAACACTATCGCTATTCCAAATGCGCTCCTCATCATCATCAGCGATCGAAGCAGCTGGCACTGAGCTCGGGCTCAGGTCCACGGTTCGTTCAGGTCTATCGGCAAGACTACTCCTGCCAATAAGGAACCGACCCAACCACGGTAAAAACTCTTTGAGTTGGAAGTGGATTAAATCTGTCTTGGGCTGGTTGAATACCGACCCTAGAGACTCAATAGGTATGCCACTGGTTTCTTCCATCAGGAGGAAGATGAGAACAAAAGCAACAACGTTCAAACCAGAAAATACCCCAAGAGTTCCCCCAAAACTTGATGCCGGCAACTAGTAGTGGTTGTAGCCACGCCAGGAGACCGGCGAATAGAAGATTGATGGATTTCGCAAGCGACGCACCCTGCTCCTGATGTCAGTTATTTGTCTTCGTATACATCATAAACTCAACTTACGGTGTCACGAAAGGCTAAGGGAAAGCTTTCCGCCGCCAAGACAAACGGCACTGGTCCCATTCCGGGGCTGTAAAACACTGTGTGAACTGTTATAAGTGTAAGCGATACTGTCTCAGGTACAGTGTGACGACAACGTACAGTAGATCCAGAAGGCCGCTACCTCGTTTTTCACCTTTTCATTCACTGCATCGAAGCATATAGCCGCTGCCATCAAGGTCAAGGCCATACCTGGGATCGTGAGGAGAAGAACTTTTCTTCTTCCCAGAACGTCTATGGAGTGGATGGCAGGTAAGCAGAATAAGAGGTTTAACAGACCAAATATCAGGTTGTACAGCATGGCCTTGGAGATTTGATTATCTGATGGGTGATTGCCTGGGCCAACACCGACAAGTGTTGTGCCACCGTAGAATGCCATGAGGTTAACTAGACAGTGTCAATGAAGTCATGATACTCAACCGGGTTGTTGACTCACTTTCAGAAAGTTGCTGCGACAAAGCCGCGATTCCTGTAGTAATAGCAGCATTGCGAAGGCGACGGACTTTCAGGATTCTCCAGTACTGTAACACATAGTGACTAACAGCTTCAACTGCTGGCGTTCGAGGTTTTGTGGCAGCCTTGGTTCTATCGTGTCCTTCGTTTTCGAACTCGCTATCTATTCCCTTGTATGTCAAGTACAAGTTTCTGACAGCTTGTATCTGTGCCCACTTATATCAGAAGCTGTTCAATGGTGCAGATGGTGAAGAAGCAACATATAGTTAAACAAACAGAGATGCCTTTTCGGGGCTATACTTTCTTGAGCCTGGCATCAAGTAGCAGCGGAATGACTTGGGACATTTGGCGACAGTGTACATGAGCATAAGCGCAAATACTGCTGGAGACCCGAGAATCAAGCGGAGTTTCAGCTCCTTGTCGTCAATCTGGTTCAAACAAATATTGACAATGAAAGACATCATGATGCCAAACGAGACCCTAACAAGCAGATACATCAACCATGCTATCACCGAGTTGTGGAAGAGGGTTGTCATACCATAGTTGCCATAACAGAACCGAAGATCCTCTCCACGAGCCAACTGCTGTTTCCGCTGCGAGGATGGGAGTGCTAGTTGCCTTTAAGCCCATGCCGACGCCGCCGATGAGTCGGATGCTCCCGAGAACTAGCCACGCATTGTCATTCAGGGTAATCCAAGCCGAGCCAACAGATGCCGCAAAGATGAGAAACAAGGCTACAATGATGACGCCACGACGACCAAACAGTGAACTCATAGGCGCAGCCAGAGGACATCCACTGCCTTTTGTTAGCTACCAAGACATCACTTGCAGGAAACCCCTCCTCACACAGCAGCAGCGCTGAGGTAGACAGCTGTATTGGCATAGGCGAACTGGGAGTTGACAGGGTCACCAGACTCGGTAAGCCACTGATCAGCAAACAGATTTGCGCCGTTTTGGCTGCTCTGAACAAAGCCTTGAAGAAAGTCACTCAGGCTAACCGTGAAGATGACCATCCACATCCCGTTCTCAGAGAACGAATGGTCAATCTCGTTAATCAGAGCACGCTTCTCGGCGTCGTTGAGGGGTATGACGGTGCTAGTAGTGTTACCGCTATCTGAGTTGCCCTTTCGTATAGCTTCGCGGATGGCGTCCTCGATGTTGTCCTTCTTCTGCCACGTCGCGGTTGCATCTTGAACTTCTTGTTCGGTGGGATATGGTCCAAGACCGGTCAAGGTTCGAGAGGTATCTTGATAGAAGTTGCGGACATCCGCGTGGAGCTCTCTTTCTGTCTGTCATATTGGCTGTTATGGTCAGCACAGGCTTCGTAACGAGTTGGGCACTTGGTATATTTACCTAGTGCATTGTGATAACGACGTGATCGTCTAAGAGATACCATGCTGGGCCGTGAGATCAGCGGGACGATGGAGCAAAGACAGGGACTCGTGACGTGGAGGACGGGAAAACAAATGTTATTATGTCGATAAAGTGCTTTGCATGCAGACAGGAGAAGAGAAGGATTATAATTTAAGCTTGCTTGTCTCGGGGATATTAGCACAAACGGGTGAGGAATCGTGCAGTGATTGCAAACAACATTGTCCCCAATTCACAGACTGCAAGCTCAGTATCGGTGATTCCGCGTTCTCGCCGGATTGGAAAAAGTCACTGAGGAAGTTTCCAAGTGATCTTTCTAGTATAGCATTGGGAAGTAGCTCAAGCATCCGGCAGGCTTAATAAACATCACCTATCTTTATAGTCTCTCTTATGTAAGATTAATGAACCTGATACACTTGAACATCAATTATGGACGTCACTACCATTTGGGCTTCGGATTAGCCTTGCTCAGTTGTAGATCCAACTCAAGCGTGACATTACCCCTAGCAGTGGCTTACGCTAGAAGCTCACGATATCTTCATTATCAGCTGTTAGGTACTCAACATAGGCCATTGGGTCTTCCTTGATAGGTTTCAGAAGACGTCAAGTCGTCTACATGAACCATCGTCTACCTTGATGATATCAGTCATTGGGCTTCTATGTAGTTCTTGATAACTATAAGTTCAACCTAAATACAATCTCACAATAACAAGAGAGTTAATCGTCAGATAATGATTATATAGACAACCAGTCACTACCAGAATGCAATAAACTTGGTCTCAATACTCTCCCTAACTTCTTCCTTCTCAGTTCCCGGCAGATGAAACGAACAGTGATGAACCCCTCCCGCTATGTCACTCCCGTCCTTCTCACTCTCAGTATCCATTATTTTCATAAGAAGAACCTCTTCTGGAGTCTGGTCACTGATCCAATACCACTTGTGCTTCGGATTGGCCTTGGTCAGCAGTACATCCGACTCAAATGTTCCATTTACCCCCGGCGGGTTTCGCCAGAAGCTCACGCCGTCTTCCTCATCAGCTGTCCAGTAGTCAACATAGGCCATTGGATCCCGCTTGACAGGCTTCAGTGGACGCCAGGTAGTATAAAGGGCCCATCGTCTGCCTTGGTAGTTCTTTGCTCTACCACCTGGCAGCTCAGCAGCCTCATCGCCTGCCTTGATGATATCGGAGGCCTCGTCGATGAGCTCATGGCTCCAGTTTCGAAGAGTGTTCCACGCGCCGGATGGACCCCAGTCCTTATGAGGCTTTCGAACTGGGCCTTCCTCTTCGCCCTTTTGAAAGCCTTTGGCCCTTGTTGTAGGGAGCTCATGCTGAGCTTGAACAGCTGGGCCAGTCTTCCCCGCATCGAGGCCACTGCTCGACTTTGAAGGCATTGGGTAGGGAGGGGCGAGCTCTGGCTCCTTGAACGGAACGTTCCGAGATGAAGCAAGCAGGATCATGACTTTCTTTGCTCCAGTGATAGACTTTGCCAGTTCAATGATCTCGGGGTCATACACTTCGCTGCGAATGACTGGGTCTGTCCACGACGAGTGATCATACGGCGGAGAACTGACGGCTGATACATGCTTGACCACCTGGAAGCCATTACCATCCAGGGTGAAAGAAGAGACTGCAGGGCGGATATCCGTAACTGCTACGACCTGCTGAGTGCAGTCTTCGAGCGTAGTGACACCAGCGATGGGGGAGGTTGGAAGAGCCGGCCCGCTATGGTAGGCTATGGTAGCAGTTACATTCTTGCCAATAGGCGATTCAGGAGAAGTGTGCTGATGAGGCATTGTGATAAGAGTGATGACTGTGATAGGTGAATTTGATTTGATTGACAGATGATGGTGTAAGAAGACGACGTACGGTTCCAAAGCAAGGATCGGTAGTATTTAGAATCCGTGTCAAGCCCTCTGAATGTATAGTCTTGTACCCCAGGTACCAATAATAGATACCTAATGCGATGTTCGTATCATGGTCTTGATCAGCCGACAACATACGGAGTACTTTGCCTGATAAGATCCTCCGCGGCACGGAACTTTGTGAGGCGTCACTTGCATTTGTTACTTGTTATCTCAAAATGTGATGATATATTATGCCGGTAGACTGCAAAACCTGACGTGTCCCTTATGTGGTTGTAAAGGTGTTTGGTTGATAGGTAGCCGTGGGGGTTACAATTGCGACCCCGGTGTGTACCCATGGCATATGCATGTAACCTTCAGATTGCAACGCAAGGCCTCCTCTTTTTAAGCTTCCGTTCGAAAGCGGGCCGGCGCAGATCGCCGGAGTTATTTTGATTGCCAAGCTTACGTGTAGTCAATATTGGGAATGCCTGAAGTGGCAGTTGAGTATTCTATGTTTACCTCGGTACATAGACAAAGCCACATATGCAGAACCATGAAGCTATTGTCCGGAAATGGTTGGGGATGCATGAGTCTGGATTTATCCGAGGTTGCGAGGGTGTGTTGTGTGACCTTCTGCGGCTTCTTGCTTTCTTGGTGAGAGCAACAATTCGGGGTCAACGGGATGCCCTGACTTACACTGTCTGAACAATTCCCTCCGCTCTTCTACCCTATGGAAACTCGAATCAGAGAATATGCTAGAGTCTTTCAGTCATGAGGAATAACGATAAATTTCTTCTAAGTTTCGATATCGAGAAAAACTATAGGTCATATAATGATGGGACGTGAGTTGGCAGACTTGGTCCTAAGCATTTGGTCCAGTGTCACAGTAGAGAATCATACCGGTGTAGGATTGTGATCAATTAATATTGGCAGAAATAAAAAAACTAGCTTTGGCCTAGCATATCATATTGCCAATCATTTGTCCCTCAGTGACCGCTTCCTAACGCACAGCCTCGCCCTCGGATCAGGTATCATATCACTATCAATCGTGATATTTCGTGGTCTTTCCTTTCCATCTGGCAACTTGAACTCAAACTGTAAGAGAAGAATCGCCAAAGTCAGCTTCATCTCATTAGATGCATAAAACCGCCCCGGGCAAGCATATTTGCCATACCCAAACGCCATGTTACTGGAATCAGTCATAGAGAAGAGATATTTCTGCGCATAGTTTGAGTCTGAGCGAATCTTCGAGTATCTAAAGCCATCAAACTCAGTCGGTGGCGTTTGGCCTGGAACGTGAGCTGAGTCCTGAAGCATCGCGTGCGAGGGAACCGCGATGCGAGTCCCTGATGGGAGATTTGTGCCGTCTGAGAGTGTCATGGGTTGGCGGTAGATGCGATTGAATGTTACTATAGGTCTGGATTAGTAACTGCAAGAGTGTAAGATGAGCAAAGACTTACAGAGGAACACGGGGTTGAAGCGTTGCGACTCTTTGAGAAAACTGTCGAGTTTGTGAAGCCGATTCAACGCCGTCTTGTCCCATCCACTAGCACTAACGACGCCTTTGACCTCTTCTCTAAGAGGCTCGATATACTCAGGGCGAGCACACAAGTCATACATAGCATGCGTCATGGTCATTGCCGTAGTGTGGATGGAGGCAAGACTCAGGATGAGCATCCGCTGAGCAATGTTGTCAATCTGTTTCTCCTCCCCAGTCGCAGCTTCTCTCATCCATGACAGTATGTCCTCGTTCTCATCACTATGATGGGAGCGAATGATGTCACCTATGACTTTACGGCCAGACGATACGTTGCGAAGCAATGTCCTGTAAGAGGGGAGCAACGGAGCAACAAATGGTCTCAGGATATGAGGCACAACACGGAGAATGAAGCCCGTTATGAACAGGCTTTCGCTATACTCTGCTGTGGTCGTCAGCCATTCTTGGTTGCGACAGTGCTCTGGGCCGAGAAAGACTCTGGCCGAGATGCGTGATATGAGCCTAACCATGATGGAAGCGATGTCGATTTCAACCCATTCCTCATCTAATAATTATCAGAACTAATGGATCGAGTTTGAAGAGCTGAGAGGGAGTCTCACCTTTCATATCAGGCATCTCTTTCATCAATGCATAGTCGAGTTCCTCCTTCATCACCTTTGTCAAAGCCACAAGTTTCGGCGTCAACCGCTGCTGAATCACACGATTTTGCAAATCACTCTGCAGAAAGACCATACCCCGTGTATAGTGTCCCGCAAAGTCATTGATGAACGGCTCTACAGAGCGAGTCTTGTCTTGAGACAGCTTTCGCACTTCATCGATATAATTTGGCGGAATGATGACGATGTCAGTACCAAGCTTTCGCACCTGGAAGATGGAGTCTTTGAACTAAAAAGATTAATCAGATACGGTAGAGTCGCTGTAGGAGGGATTGCCTACTTTGTTGTAGCCTTGGCTGATGATGGATCCCCCTTCCCAGACAAAGCGTAGACGGAGAAGCCAGGTGGGCTCAAAGAAGCTTCTGTATCCTACGAAGGGCACTTTGACTGTAGAAGAAGAAGTCAAGAAGTGAATGGCAGAAGAGCATATCCAAGCACCAAAGGCCACGTAGATCAACCAGTGAATATCCATCAAGGGGATTTCATCAAGACCCGAGACAAGCTGCTGGAACAATGTTTCATGGCTTGTATTGTTCATGGTGTTGAAAATATTCGCTGAGTTCTGTTGAGGGTAGATGAGATGTAATAGAGACTGTGTAGGTAGTTGACAGGAGTGATCGAGAAGATTGTGGGCTATGAGTTTGCTATGCGTTTAGCTCACTGACACTCGAACAAGTCTTGTGTATCCTCTTCTGTTCATCACAGATAAACTTACCCATGGTCATCTGCTTTGAGTACGGAATGATTGGATGGGAAAGGTCTACGCGTAAGCAGCCATGAATTACAATTGCCAACGACATTTCACCGACGTGCATCGGTATCAATATCCCCATTCAACAAGATTTGCATTTCAGACCTCGTGGAGCATCTGAGCCTTTCCAACTTCTCACACGTCTTGTATTTCTCCACAGTCCCCCAAAAGTTCCCCAGAATGCTGCACCCCCCTTCTCGAGCGGAAGAATGTTCCTTAGAGTTTATACACCCTTGCCTTCAAGGTTTCACTGAACTGAGACATTAGCCGCCCGTCGTTCATGAGAATATGATTGGAAACTCCCTTGGGAGTTATCTCAGGAGCGTCATGGTGGCTGCATCTGCCGTCGGCCCAAGGTCTAACCCTGTAGCACTGACCCTTGATAACGCCAAGACGCAGAGTTTGACAAGGGATAGATTGGGGAATTCCTGATTGAGATACGTGGGCATGTGGCATGCGGTTATGCTCTGTTCTGTAGAACATGATTACAAAACAATAGGGCCCAGGTCAGCTTCTTCTGGTGTCATTGATATGCAACTGACACTCGTTGTCCAGATATCAGCAATAGCCCTCTACTGTTGAGCATACACTCATCACCATTTTGACATACTTTGAATTGGACTTGTTGACACGAAATGACGAACAATTCTTCTTCTTCTCACTTCTACGAGTCCTACAGGGGCCACTCTCATACCGTCTTGACATTAATGAGAGAGAACACTCTCGCATCATCATGTCTCGTCTTGGCAACCTGCGCCATTCTGCTCTGCATCCAATGGCTTAAACCTCAGCCGTTGATCATGGTGAACGGCAGAAAGTTTGGTGAACTCTCCAACATCCGCGCTAAAAAGGACTTCACCTTTGGGGCTAGACAGCTCCTAGAAAAGGGCCTTGAGATGAGCCCAGACAAGCCATTCCGTATCATGGGCGATGTTGGCGAGCTGCACATCTTACCGCCAAAGTATGCCTATGAGGTTCGCAATAATGAGAAGCTCAGCTTTACCATGGCAGCATTCAAGGTGAGGAGTTCGTGACTTATCAATATGGAAGAAAGCTGACAGCTGGTAATAGTGGTTCTATGCTCACCTTCCGGGTTTTGAGGGTTTCAGAGAGGGCACCAACGAGAGTCACATCATGAAGCTCGTTGCGAGACATCAATTGACTCATCAATTGACTCTGGTGACAGGAGCCGTCTCTGAAGAGTGTGCTTTGGTATTGAAGGACGTCTACACAGATGATACAGGTATGCCGATCTGCTATTCGCCGTAAGCGAGTCAGTGACTGAATCAATGTCGCAGAATGGCACGACATTACTGCCAAAGACGAAAACATGAAGCTCATGGCCCGCATCACCTCCCGAGTATTCCTCGGTAAGGAAATGTGCCGAAACCCCCAGTGGCTGCGGATCACATCTACCTACGCCGTCATCGCCTTCCGCGCAGTAGAAGAACTGCGTCTCTGGCCATCGTGGCTCCGGCCCGTAGTCCAGTGGTTCATGCCGCACTGCACACAGTCCCGAGCGCTGGTTCAAGAAGCGAGAGATCTTATCAACCCGCTTCTGGAGCGGCGACGTGCAGAGAAAGTTGAGGCAGAGGAAACTGGAGAGAAAGTCACATACAATGATGCTGTTGAGTGGCTGGATGATCTTGCGCGTGAGAAGCGCGTTGGGTATGACCCTGCTTGTGCGCAGCTGTCGCTCTCTGTGGCGGCTTTGCATAGTACTACGGATTTCTTCACGCAGGTCATGTTTGACATTGCGCAGAATCCGGAGCTTGTTGAGCCTTTGCGCGAGGAGGTCATTGCTGTTTTGGGGAAGCAGGGATGGTCCAAGAACTCGCTTTACAACCTCAAGCTCATGGACAGTGTCTTGAAGGAGAGTCAGCGACTGAAGCCCATCGCCATTGGTACGTATCCTTGTCTGAACTTGCAGCTATAACACATACTGACGGACGGTATCAGCGAGCATGCGGCGCTTCACAACCCACGACGTCAAGTTATCCGATGGCGTCATCCTCCCCAAGAACAAACTCACGCTCGTATCAGCCCACCAGCACTGGGATCCAGAGCACTACAAGGATCCCCTGAAGTTTGATGGATACCGTTTCTACAACATGCGCCGTGAGCCGGGTAAAGAGAGCAAGGCGCAGCTCGTGAGCGCAACTCCGGATCACATGGGCTTCGGGTACGGACTTCATGCCTGTCCTGGACGGTTCTTTGCGTCCGAGGAGATCAAGATTGCCCTATCTCACATTTTGCTCAAGTATGACTTCAAGCCAGTTGAGGGGTCGAGCATGGAGCCGAGGAAGTACGGCCTCAACATGAATGCCAACCCAACTGCAAAGTTGTCGGTTCGCAGGAGAAAGGAGGAGATTGTGATCTGATTGCTGAACTTGGAATGAGTGGGGCTTAGATTGTAGTTCGTTAGTTATGAATGAATGCTTTGGAACTATGATTAAGGTTTAATGGCTATGACAGCAAATCTCGTATCTGGCATGGGATATGCAACCGATACCATTTCTGGTTGGCTAGAGTACGATCTCGCTTCTACGTTAAACTCTCTCAAGGGACGGGACTCGCTGATCGTTCCATGACGAGGTCTCTGGAACGGGCCGGCGGCATAGCGCTTCCAGAGTCAACTTATCCATCGCCGGCCAAACGGAACAGGCTATTAGCTTCCCCGCCTCAAGGTCAAGGCCTCAGTGGTTGGGCATGATTGACCCCTGGTAGAACTCTAGATAGGCACGCGGCAAAGAAGGCCAATTATGTTGGTTCAAGTTATCTTGCTAAGCTTCACTACATGCTTATTAGTTCATCACGTCATAGTCACACCGCGGCTTAATAGCCTAGGAGACTTGTGCGGGATATGTTGCATCATCCGACGCTACTTACCCTGCTGTTAGCCCAAACCTTATATCTCCAGATGCAGGGTTTCTTGCATAGCGTACTGGAGGGTTATGGGTCACCAAGTTCAAGGATGCGGTGCACACCTCGCATATACCTCGGCCATCATTCCCTTTTGACTTGGTGCATCTGCCAATCGTACTTCTCCCGCATATCGTATGATGTCAACAGGATGACTCCGACAACTTCGATTCGTCTGTGACCTAGTTTATCTCCCTGTTTCAGCTCGTCCAGATTTCCAGGTCTAGCTACTTTCGAAGTTGTGAATGTTTTCTTGTCTGCAGCCATTAGAAATATGCAATCGACATATCAATAGCCAAGATTCTAGATTATGTACAATTTATCGGGGACAACACCGGCATTATCCCGCTGTTCCGTGAGCCCCGGCGTTTCCACCTCAAACATGTCGCCGTATCTTTATTCCTAGCGAGCTCCATCAGCCATGCTTGTGTGACCGTGTTAGAGACTTCAGGCACTGGCTGGTAAACACCAGCATGTATGGTCGACTACGGAGTAGTGACCTAGACCTTCTTTTTGAAACCTGGCTGCAAAAGTCCCTTGATGTTTACTGATCGAACTCGGCAATAGCCTGGCTTTCGGCACTTCTCTTGGACACCATCGCCTCTTACGTGGCACATCAGGTTCTGCTCGCGGCCTATTTGCATCTTTGGAGCGTCACTCTGTGCATGATGAACGGATAGTTCATGTCTTATTTTTAACTCCGAATCATACTCCGGAAGCACATAGGAATGACGATGGTGTCTCGAGCGATATTGCCGATACGTTATACGTAGCCCCGTCTGATCGGTTGTTGTCTCCCCATCCATGTTCTCTCGTGATGGTTTTCTTGATGCCCATCCATTTCCCCAGGTCTTCTGCTGAGATCGCAACCTCCTCTCACAGATTATCAGACCTAGCTCCTTGTCTTGAACGTTCTGTCTTCTTCAACCACAAACAAGATGAGCATTCTCAATATGATCACCAGCTATGCTGGTAGCCAGTTTTTGCCCTTCTATATCACCGTATTCATCTTAACCTTAGTCCCATGGGTAATCCGTTTCTCTTGGCCAGAATTACGCAAGGGATCGGAGGTGCCACTTGCGAACCCGCCCGAATCACTCTTCGGCACCGGTAAAACCAGGGTCAGACCATCTGTTGACGAGGCAACCGAAGGGAAACTGACATTGTCCACAGAGAAATTTCGTCAAACTTAGCAGAGAAATTCTGGCCAAAGCGAGAAGCTTGTTCCCTGATGAGCCTTTTCGCCTGATCACGGACTGGGGTGAGGTCCTCATTCTCCCGCCAGATTTTGCAGATGAGATTCGAAATGATCCGAGACTGAGCTTCTCCAAGGCAGCAATGCAGGTTAGTACCGCAAAGGAAAAAGAGCACAAATTTTTGAGCGCTAACAGGGAGATAACGTGCTACAGGATAATCATGCTGGAATACCTGGATTTGAGACTGTTGCCCTGGTCGGTCGTGAAGATCAGCTTATTCAGAAGGTGGCCCGCAAGCAGTTGACTAAACATCTCTGTAAGTCCCTTCACCGCGAACGAGTGAAGAAACCCACTGACGGCCAGGAGCCGCTGTTATAGAACCATTGTCTAGAGAGTCGACCCTCGCAGTGTCGCTCAACTTTGGAGAGACAACAGGCAAGTCCCCTTTCCGAGCACATCAGTCAGGGGCTATCACTAACCGACCAAAAAACACAGAATGGCGAGCGATACGACTCAAACCAGCGATTCTAGACATCATCGCCCGCATCTCGTCAAGAATCTACCTCGGCGACCAACTTTGCCGTAACGAAGCGTGGTTAAAGATCACCAAGACATACACCACCAACTTCTACACGGCATCTACGAACCTACGAATGTTCCCACGATCGATCCGTCCTCTTGCCCACTGGTTCCTCCCCGAATGCAGAAAGCTTCGACAGGAGCGTAAGGATGCAGTTGGTATCATCACGCCCCTGATTGAGCGCCGTCGTGAGCTTCGAAGAGCCGCGGCCGCAGCCGGTCAGCCTCTGCCTGTGTTTCATGACGCTATTGACTGGTCGGAACAGGAGGCAGAAGCTGCAGGCTCAGGGCCCGCGTTCGATCCGGTAATCTTCCAGCTTACTCTATCCCTTCTTGCAATTCATACCACGTATGATCTCCTTCAGCAGACAATGATTGATCTAGGTCGCCATCCTGAGTATATCGAGCCCCTGAGGCAGGAAGTCGTGCAGCTGCTTCGCGAGGAAGGTTGGAAGAAAACAACCCTTTTCAAGATGAAGCTCCTGGACAGTGCCATCAAAGAATCTCAGCGCATGAAGCCTGGCAGTATAGGTATGAGCTTCCTTCACTAATATGTATCGTACTACTGACACTCGCGACGCAGTTACTATGCGTCGCTATGTGACCGAAGACATCACTCTCTCCAGCGGCCTAAGTTAGTCAATCCCACATCCCACCGGCTTTTCTGACTAACCCTTCCATTAACCAGCCCTCAAAAGGGGGACCCGCCTCAACGTAGACAACAGACGTCTCGACGATCCCAAGATCTACGAAAAGCCCGAGGTCTACAATCCCTATCGCTTTTACGACATGCGCTCCGAAGCCGGCAAAGACCACGGGGCACAGCTCGTATCAACTGGCTCAAACCATATGGGCTTCGGCCACGGTCAGCATTCGTGTCCAGGGCGCTTTTTCGCTGCCAATGAGATCAAAGTAGCGCTCTGCCACATCTTGGTCAAGTATGATTGGAAGCTGTGTCCTGACACGGAGACGAAGCCTGATACAAGGGGAATGATCGCCAAGTCCAGTCCTGTCACGGATATTCTTATTAAGCGCCGGGAGTCGGTTGAGTTGGATTTGGAAGCAATCTGAAGCAAGAGGCCAACGTAAATTGCTGCGTACTACTTTAGCTACTAAATTGAAGTCATATTGCTGAGATCCTCAGATCCGTTTGTAGTTCAATGATCCAATGCTTACATCGTCGGTCTCTGTTGTAGCCTCACGCGAAGCATGCACCTCCGTTACGTGACCATCATTGCGTCCATTTCCCGAGTCACAAAAGCGTGACTCTTGCAGCGCTGCCCAACCATTCTCCCACAGGTCCTTCCCTTGCACAGTTCCCTGGCTCCATTTCCCGCATACCATTGGCCTTCTTGATCCACAATGCCGTCCTAATAATTACTCCGGCCAAGAAAACTCTACTCAAATTCCGCCGGGATGATTCCGTGCTCAGGCTATCCCGCTCGCGGAATTAGGCCTAAAGCGCTATCTTAGCCACGCGCTGAACAGGGAATGGCACACACACTCCAGGTTACATCAAGATATGTAATCTTGTGAGACGGGACGTCCTGCACCTCTAGCACACCCGCTGCCGTCTACGAATACAACTGCAGATCAACGTGGTAGACGTAGGGTTGCAGCGGACTGCCAAACCTGCAATGCTCGATTCTAGAATCTAGACCCTGACCAGAAGCGGGCGCTAAGTCCTGCACTTGATGTGCCGGCTTGCAACCTCCATTTCCCCGAACCTTTGTCCGGTTTGACCAGTCTTGTGAGTATTCCGCAAACATGTGGTCTTTGACTCCATCACTGGATCCCCTTATCACCTGGGTTGATGCCTACGAGACATGTCTGACGTGGCCGACAGAGGCCGAGGCACGCAGCGTTTTCGCCCTGATGTAGGGGGACACTTCTTAGATAGCCCACGTAATTTGTTATCAGTCCGTATACAGCATCTCGGCTAATACTTCCATCGTACTTTTGTATTGTTTGCATTGAAATAATTTGTAGAGCTCGAGTGCATGATCCCATTCAGCGTCCACGCGCTGTCAGACAATTTCTAGATTCTGCTTCGTTCTGGTGAAAAAGTAATGATCCAACATAGAATAATTCTACAGTCTAAGCTCTTAGCTTCAGGCGTTCCACCAAAGCCCTCAATGCAGGGTTGTCCCTATTTATGCTAACTTCGAGGCTTCCAATCTCAGCTAGAACTCGTGTGCGCAGCATGCCAAGGAGTGTACTCGTCCAGTCTAGGCTACCGTTGCTTTTCATCACTTCCAACACCAGCATCTTTTGCTCTGTTGTAAGCTTACCCTGGACTCGTCTCATCGATAAGATATTAGTGAGAAGACCACTTGTGTCACTCTGTAGAGCATGCATCAGAGTCAACGAGTATTTACCCTCGTCCAAATCCTCGCAAAATCCTTTCTGATCAGTGTACTGTCAAATGCTTAGCAAAAGGCCCAGAACACTATGGAGAATGAGTGAAAGTCTTGACAAGTGGAACTCATTTCCCATTGTCATAGCGTAGAAGAAGATCAGGGTTAAGACGTGGGGAACGAACCTTATTGTCAATGAGATTCATGTAATCATCTCTAATCTGGAAATACTGCCCGAGCAGTGAAACAACACTGCTGAGGGATTCAAGCGTGCTGTCACTAACAGACGCTTCAGAGTTCAACGTCAGTAGTTCAAGCGATAACCTGAACAGGGCACCAGTCTCTGCAACCAAATAAGTTAGTCTATGTCCACCATTATGAATAGAAGCATCTTACTGTCGTTGACCATTAAAAGATACTCTTGGATAGACGGAACAATGGTATTAGCCGTCCACCACAGATCCATCGCCTGACCCTGGAAGATTGTGGTTATAGTGCCAGTGATATCTGCCAAAGCATCATGGCTGACGATCTCCTGTATTTTTTCGATCGCTTTGACGATGACATAAGTTGCTGTGTTGATTGCTTGGGCTGGACCGAAGACGGTGTGTGTGGATGGCTTGCCCCGCCGAAGCGGGGAGTTGTCTTGAAAGTCATCGATTCTGAGATGTCAGGTGGGGTTCCAGCAAGGGAAGATTGGGAGGCTAACATGAGAGAGGAGTTGTGGAGCATGCCAATCACCTCTTTGATCACGGACGTCTTGTCCTCTGGGACATCGAGCCAGACATTCAACGAGTCAATGAATAGCCCTCGAATACCTTTGGAGGGAAGGGTCAAGATGTAATTGTACGGAGAATCAGCGACCTGGATGTCTTAGCAAGTAACAACGCAGAGATGAGGGCGGCCTGGACTTACCTTGAGGCGCTGCGACTTCCACCTACTATTAAGCTCAGAGCTCATAGCTGTCGAGAAGCATAGTTGTGAAACTATATCAGGGGATGCTGCCTTGTGAGAGACAGGAAGGGAGACACGTCGCTCCTCATAGCGAGATAAGGAACTGCCTTCTGAGGAGGAAGAGTCTGGAGGTGTGTCTCTGTACTGGAAAGAATCCGTAACCTGCACTGTAATCTCCAACTTCTGGTTTGCGTGGAAAGCATCAAACATTGAAAGAAGGTTAGAGATCTGTTGCTCAGCCATGATGGTATTCGAGGTGTTTGCAATTGTATGGTAAGATGAAGACGATTGAGTAGTGAGGAACAATGTAAGAGGGAAATGCTTCATGCGTATATGTCGAGTCCATTGAAGCCAACGAACGACAGAGATATCCCAATGGATAAGATCACGTCGGTTCTTTTTCCCTCCACGGCTATCTGATTCCCCGTCTCCATGTCTCGGAACCTTTTACTGAATTTCCCACATCAGGATTCACCCGCATATGCTTGGGGCATCAGCTACGGCATGTCCACTCTATCGACGGCTCCGGGGTTTTCCATCACTAACTCCGTGTACACAGACTTGCAGACACACCGCGAAATGATACCTTAATTAGAACGGACTTAACTTATTATCTCTTTCCTCACCAATACTCTAGGTCGCCGGGGACTTTTGCTGTGCATATGCCCAGACACTCTCCGCGTCAACAGGGAAGAACTTAAACTTACACCTCGCAGGTTTGTCGTCACCCCTAGGGTATGGTGATAGATATGCATCTCATGGCTGCAAGAAACCAGATTTGACATGCCGCAGCGCCCGCAATCGAGTCCCATTCTCAAGCCTTGTTTGCGATGCCAATGTGGGTAGATGGGGCACAGGTGTTGACGCATTCCAAAATGTTTCTATGGGGAGAAGAGGTATGCCCAGATTTTTGTGCTGGCTCTCGTTACCCAAATTAGAGTAAAGTCGTCTCAGACACGTTGACGTTATCTCGCAAAACAGACATAATAAGTTCTTTCTTCTCTCACTAACATACACTTCACTTTCATCGCTGAAGTATATCTGAGATAGTTACACAAGATGCCGTATGTATAAAAAACACCTTTAGTGAATGGATTATTCTAACATATGAAAGTGGTAAAATCGAGAATGGCACCCCCAAAGATCTCAAGTCTGAAGATGACTTGGTTTCAGCAGCAAAGTCGCTACTGGACCGCGCCTTCAAGAGCCATCATGGCTATTACGGTCTTTGTTCTACTAGCTGCCAGGTGTATGACACCGCCTGGGTGGCCATGATACCCAAGACAACAGACAATGTTAAGCATTGGCTGTTTCCCGAGTGCTTTCACTATCTACTCAAGACTCAGGCTGCTGATGGCAGTTGGGGTTGTCTTCCGTCAACCCAGACTGCTGGCATTCTAGGCACTGCTTCGGCTGTGCTTGCACTCATTTCTCATGTACGAGAGCCTTTGCAGATACTAGACGTATCCCCAGACGAGCTGAGTCTCAGGGTCAAGCAAGGAGTTGCTTCTCTGAAGAGACAGCTAACTGTCTGGAACGATGTTGAGGAGACCAATCATATTGGTGTCGAGCTGATCGTCCCAGCTTTACTTGACATGCTTGAGAAAGAGCTCGGCGAGTCAGCCTTCACGTTCCCTTGCAGAGATGTCTTAGACAGGATGCATGAAGAGAAGCTCAGCCACTTTGACTCGGAGAAGGTTTATGGCAAGCCGTCTTCAGTACTTCATTCTCTTGAAGCCTTTCTTGGGAAGCTGGACTTTGATCGTCTCTCCCACCATCTTTACCGTGGCTCTATGATGGCCTCACCTTCTTCCACGGCTGCCTACCTCATTGGTGCAAGCAAGTGGGACGACGAGGCTGAAGATTACCTGAGACATGTCATGAGGAATGGTGCTGGCCATGGAGATGGTGGTATCTCGGGGACCTTTCCAACGACGCATTTCGAATGCAGCTGGGTGAGTAATATGGCCCAGTTTACTCTTTGGCCGCTAACTTCGGGGGGAGATCATAGCTACGCTCTTGAAGGGTGGCTTCACTGTCAAGCACATCGATGGTGATGGCTTGCGCGGCTTATCAACTATACTTGTCAATGCGTTGAGGGACGAGAAAGGGGTGATTGGCTTTGGTAAGAAAACCTTCGTGTCTATTCACGACCCATGGAGACTGATTATGGTATAGCACCCCATACAGCTGATGTCGATGACACGGCAAAAGCGCTTCTGGCATTGAGGCTCGTCGATCAACATGCTAGCCCAGATATCATGATCAAGGTCTTTGAGGGGAAAAGCCACTTCACCACATTTGGGTTGGAACGCGATCCCAGCTTGACTTCCAACCTCCACGTGTTGCTAAGTCTCCTGAAGCAGCCCAACTTATCCAAATATTATCCCCAAATCTTGAAGACCACCTTGTTTATCTGCCAATGGTGGTGGGACAGCGACCATCACGTCAAAGACAAATGGGTAAGCTCTACCTCTCACCAAGTAGAAGCACACTAACAGTTCTAGAATTTGAGTTACCTTTATCCTACTATGCTTCTGGTGGAAGCTTTCACGGAGGTACTTCATCTCATCGATGACGGCAACCTTTCTGGTGTTCTTGACGATGACCTCGGGTGCAAGATTGGCCTGTCAGTCTTCCAGGCTGTCATACGTATCGTCCTCAATCAAGACGATGATGGATCTTGGAAAGGATACCGTGAGCAAACATGCTACGCCATTCTGGCTCTTGCACAGGCACGCCAGATCTGCTTCTTCACTCATATGGAGCATATTATACAAAATTGCATCGACCGCGGCGTTTCGTGGCTCAAGACGAGCAATTTTCGTTCTCAGGACCTTACTTGGACGTCAAAGACGGCATACGAAGTTGGATTCGTTGCTGAAGCGTACAAGCTAGCAGCCCTGAAGTCAGCAAGCTTGGAGGTACCCGCCGCTACTGTCGGTCATAGCCTCACCTCAGCAGTACCTTCATCTGATTTGGAGCGATACATGCGGCTTGTACGTAAGACTGCTTTGTTTTCGTCGCTGGATGAGTGGGAAGTCAGAGCGTCGATCATTGAGTCTTCGTTCTTCGTGCCCCTTTTACGAACCCAGCGCGTTGAAATCTACCCGAGGGACAAGATGAAGGTCGATGACGACAAATATCTAAGCATTATTCCTTTCACTTGGATCGGATGCAACAACAGAAGTCGCACCTTTGCATCTAACAGGTGGCTCTATGACATGATGTACCTGTCTCTTCTGGGCTATCAGACCGATGAGTACATGGAAGCTGTCGCTGGGCCGGCCTTCGGTAATATCTCTCTTCTTCATCAGACGATCGACAAGATCATAGACAACACCAGCGTGAACTCTGCCGGGACCAATGGGACCGCGCGCAATGGAAATGGTCATCAGCACAAGCCAACAAGCATTATTCAAGTTGAGGATACTCTCACTCGTTTCATCAACAGCGTCCTCAACCATAAAGATGTTCTGAGATCAAGCTCTTTCGATCAAGACACTCTTCGCCAGGAGCTCAAAACATTCATGCACGCCCATGCCACACAGGTAGAGGACAACAGTCGCTTCTCACAACAGGCCTCTAGCGACGTTTTCTCTTCCTCAGAGCAGTCATACTTCCAGTGGGTGAACAGCACAGGAGGCAGCCACGTCGCTTGTGCATACTCATTCGCCTTCTCAAACTGCCTAGTGTCAGCGAGTCTGCTCCAAGGCAGAGACGCATTTCCCTCCGTCACTCAGAAGTATCTTATCTCCTCTATCATGCGCCACGCTACAAACATGTGTCGTATTTACAACGACTTTGGCTCTAAAGCTCGCGACGATGCAGAGCGGAATGTCAACTCTATGCACTTCCCTGAGTTTGGGGTGTGCAAAGGAACGTCACAGAGTCTTGAAGACAGAAAGAAGAGGCTTTCGGAGATAGCTAGGTATGAGCAGGGTTGTCTTGACCGTGCTTTGGAAGCTCTGGAGAAGCAGTCTTGGGATGATGTAGGAGATTGTGCTGGTTCTGCGGAGGGGAGAAAGCTTAAGATTATGAAGCTATTCTGTGATGTTACGGATTTGTATGATCAGCTTTATGTGATCAAGGACCTTTCAAGCAGCATGAAGTGAGTCAAGAGGATCGAGCGGGTAGTTTTGCTATGAAGTTTACTTGATGCGACGAAGTTTTGGTTTAGTCAACGCTCACCAGATTTGAAACCTATCGAGGCCTTGAATATGTGACTTACTTCGACCTTCGAATACGTAGTCGGCTCTCTCGCTAAGAAGTCCAACATTCTTCGTGGCACTTCCTTTCCTGAGCTCCTTGGGCCATTGTACCCATCAAAGTTCCGTCTCCGTCTGCGTACATAGCGTAGGATACCGTGTTCGAGCCGTGTCAGCTCATGCATGAGTTATGGTGACATTCCGAAGCGCCGAGGACAATCCGTAGAAACTAATCATGCTGCATGTTCTGATATCCTTTGGTCTCGAAGCCACTACATGCACCCCTACCCTCTGCGTTTTGTCCGGGGTTAGAAGTCTATCTCCGTGCCGTCACAGCGGCTAAATGGGTGTAGTGACCCCTGCAACTTCTGTCTACTCGTAACATGGACTGGTGAAGTGTAAAGATAGCGAGTACACGGGATCTGAGAGTACCTTTTCGCTTATGCTATACCTTTCTGATAGGGGAAAAGACTGTCCCTTCCTCACTATTCGGCGATTAGCGCTTCATCTATGCTATCCGGACTTTTTATTGCACTATGACGAATACCTCTATCAAGATGATTGAGCCTCTTCAGCTCGCTGGCTTACGCGCTTTGCGTTTTATTGTAGGGTTCGCCGTGCTTTGGAGCACTACTGGGCTGCTGGCACTCACGTGGTGGATATACAAGCAGTTATCCAAAGAACGAGTTATCTCATATCCCGTAATAGGCGATCCCCACGCTCAGTCGGTGGAAGACAATCTCATTCAGGGAATGAAAAAGGTAAGTGTCTCGCTTTCGGTCTCGCTTTCGACTCTAAATTACGCAGTACCACGATTCGCCCTTTGTCCTGGCTGGATCACACCCACCACTGCTCATCCTACCAATGTCTGTCTTTCATGAGATACACAACATGCCAAATGAAGGTATTTCCATCATAGCAGAGCATGAAGACAAGTTCCAGGGCAAGTACACTCACATCACCACCATCCGACCTGAGATTCCCGCCACTATTCGTCAGGATTTGACCCGTAATATGCCCAGCATTATACTGGACTTCCAGGATGAGTTGGCATACGCCTCCAAGTTCTGGCCAAAAACAGGCAATTGGTCATCTGTACCATTGTACGAGATGATGCTCAGGACCGTGGCGCTTTTGAGTGGCAGAGCATTTGTCGGTCTGCCCTTGTGTTGCGATCAAGGCTGGCTACAAGCTTCCATAGGCTACACCGTTCAATGTGTTTCAATACGCGATCAGCTGCATACCTGGAGTCCCGTGCTGAGACCAATTATTGGCCCATTCCTACCCAGCGTGCGTTCAGTGCGAAGACACCTTCGCTTCGCAGCGGAGATAATGGCTCCTTTGATCTCGCAAGTTTTACAAGTAGATGGAATTCAACACCAAACAGATACAGATCAGGCCAAAGGGCGAGGGACGTTTATTTCATGGCTTCTTCGGCACTTGCCCGAGGAGCTTAGAACCCCAGAACAAGTCGGGCTAGATCAAATGCTGGTCTCATTCGCTGCGATCCACACTACTAGTAAGTCATAGGAACCATGATGTTAGTGCTCTCTTTCTGATCTTGTCCCTTTGATAGCCATGGCCCTCACCAAGGTTGTATGGGAGCTTGCCAAACGGCCAGAATACATTGAGCCATTGAGAGCCGAGATGTACGACGTCTTTGGACCCGAGGTTGGTGCAACTGCCATATGCATGAACAAGGAGGCTCTTTCTAGGCTCCATAAACTGGATAGCTTCATTAGAGAAGTCCAGCGCTGGTGCCCTTCGTCATTTGGTATGTCAAAGAACCCGCATATGAGTTAATACACGAAGTACTAACCGAATACTCGAGTCACTCCAAGTAGACGCGTCATGAAGTCAATGACCCTATCAAATGGCATCAAGCTACTGAAAGGGACCTCTATAGCATTTCCCGCCCACGCAATCCAGTACTTTGCTGCCCTTCCTCTTGTCATTAGCTACATCACTGACTATTTAATAGCATGTCCGAAGAGACGCCAACATTCTCGCCAGACTTTAGCTCTGACTTCACGAACCCGTCACCTCTCACATTTGACGGGTTCCGGTACTCGAATCTCCGATCTATCAAAGGACAAGAGTCGCAACACCAGGCAGCCACTACGGGTCCCGACTATCTGGTCTTCAACCATGGAAAGCACGCATGCCCTGGAAGGTTCTTTGCCATATGTGAGATCAAGATGATACTCGTGGAACTATTGGCAAAGTACGATTTTATACTTGAGGATGGAAAGCCAGGGCCTGAGTTGATGCGTGTTGGGACAGAGACTCGACTGGATACCAAAGCTTGTCTCAAGATAAGAAGGAGATAAATACAGCTAAACTACGAAATCTGCCTTTCTTTTGAGCGAGAATATTGGTCGAGACCAAGCAGCGGCCCAGAACAATTCAGCAGAGGAAAGGCACAGATGTTTGTCTGTAAATTAGATAGTGACCAAAATTGCCAAATGGGGACGTTGAATGGGCTGTATATTCATAACATCAATTGCACAGAGTTGTAATGATAATGAACAAGTATAAGCTCGGCCATTATCTAAAGCGGTTATGCCTCAGCCCAGCGTTGCCAGCTGGGGCTATTACACAAGTGCTCCATTGCTTCAACATCCAGCGTAATCAGGACCTCGAATTTAGTAACATCAGTTTCTGGCAACACCAGTCCCGCGCCAGTACCAAAGGCAGCCTGTGCTCTGCGCAAAGCATCTGGAGCGAGGCCCCTCACGCAATCCTGGTTGTCGAGTCCCGGAAAGTCCCAGCGAGTCCGAGTTCCAAATTCTCGCCAGGTTTCCAGGTAAAAGTCCAGCGGATCGCTCAGATCAAAGTCAAGGCCTATCAGCCGCGGGTCTGGAACCCAGTGGAACAGAGCAGTGCGAGCAGCTACGAAGTCGTCGTTGACACTGAGAATAGCCTCATCGATAGCTCGTGCTATAGCTGCTACGGCGGAGTACGCAATTCTTTGATCCTCGTTACATGCTGCTAATATAGTTGACTTGTTGATTGAGGCGATGGGAAGAGCTATGGAGTTGCCAGAGATAGAACCAATGGTATTGCCGGTTACGCGTCGGCGCCAATCGACAGATATCATAAGCCGTGCATCTTCAGCAAGCGACGCCTTGGGTGATCCATTGGCTATACGGGAATTGGTGACATGAGCCCACGTAATAGCGGCAAGGCATGTAAATGCTGAAGGCAGGTGTTTGGAGTCTGTGAGTCCCGGGTACGCGAGTTCGTCTTTGAGAGCACGAATAGTCTGATCCTAGATTACAAAAATACAGCCCGTATTGTTTGGCGGTTTGTCTGTTCTCGGAACTCGAAACTGAGTTGGGCCGAGAGGGGACGAAAGAAGTCGATACTCAGGACAACGAGAAAGTAGCTCTTTCAAGTCCGGAGCTAGCGGCACCGGGACAGCTATAAAGGCTTTGTCACTCAAACGCGCTGGAACTGTAATTTCCAACGTCTTTTTGGGGTCTTTGGTAAGTTCAGCAAAGCAACTGATGACAATGTCCAGACGTCCGGCGTCGAAAATAGAGTGATGACCATAGATGCCAAGAAGCAGTCCGGCATCTATAAGACGGACATGTACTTCAAAAGCCGGTATTCCCTCTCCCTCTTCTTCAAGTCGATAGGGAATGTGGCTATGTGTGCTGTATGAGATTCCAAGGTCGAAGATGCATTCGTGCTGTCAGATTGACCGGTCTGTACGGAGAAACATAGATACACCAATGGCAAATGGACTGAAAGTGGTTATGTAAGCGTTGATGTCCGGTAATAATCAGCCAAGGTTTATTCCCGATAGTGAATGCCAGTGATATAGGGTGGCTTGTAAGACTTGTACATGTACAGACGGCACTTCTTTAATATCACTCTTGGCGTGATGACACTTATCCTTCTATTGCACACGGCTGCTAGTGATTTAATTCCTGTAACCTTTGTTTAACCTTGACCCTCTAGCTCAGGTTGGCGTTCTTTTCCAGTGTGGTTCTGAACTTCTCTGTGATCGCCTTGACCCACCTTGGTCTGTCGGTGTTATAGAAACTGGTGTTCGTACGTGTGCGAACGATGTAAGTATGCCCTGGCATTTCTTTTGGCAGCACATAGGCGACAGAGTTCAGAGTGGGAAGCTATATAGATTTACTATATTATAAATCTCTTATTGAGAGAACAATGGCGGCAGTCGAGCTGTATCTAGCGTCTTCACCTCCTTGCTCTACACCCTGATATGAAGTGGTTACCTGTTGTGCACTACATCATTGAGAGGCTGCGTGTTGTGATACGTCTCTGATACCGAATATTACCAGAGAATAAGAGTTACTAGGCAGTGACATATCTTCAACTATGCTTAAAGGCTTTAAGTATTCAACAACGACTCAATCTACAAGCCAAGATCTGACGTGTATCAATAGCAATATTTCTACAGTAGTTGACACAAGGTTAGGCATTACTGTCGATACTATCGTCTGATATTAATCTATCTTTCTTCTCTGCCCGCGTCTTGTTCCGATCGCAAGTCTCCTTGTTCGTTGATTCCATACAAGTAGCGCTTCGGACTAATCTTCTCATGTCCAGCATGGTTCCTACTCGCGCCATATCCTGTGAGTCACCTCAAAGGGTAATCCGAGTCCAAAAACTTCTGTAAGGCAAAAGTTCATGGCTGTTTACAGGTTGTATTAATGCCCGCCCTTTTCCACCGACTCTCACGGTTCTCATCTACGCAGCCCATGCCACGCTATGCCTTTTCTGTAATTCCGACAATCGAAATGATGTAAGACTTATAGCCGTATCCAGAGACATATTGGTCAATCAATGCGGACCGATAGAACAATGGTGTGGTTCAGTCCTAGTGTGATTCAGCGTCGTGCGAACCATCTTCCAGGTCGTTGCGAGTTGTTTGACCCAAAACTCATCCGTCAACGCGTCGTAGTCTTTGACCTTCATCCATCCGTAAGGACCACCAGGAAGCTCCTTCGTCCGGTCCCGAATAATCTAGACTCGCGACACAAACTCCGGGTCCTGGTGGTCCGGGAGCTTTCGTCCAGTTTCCGGCTGCTTCTGCCGGTGAACAATCGGTTCGACTTCATCCCAAGTGAGTGGTCGGAATTCAACTTCTTCAGTCTCCAGGTAAACACGGAAACCAGCCCATTGACCACCTTGGGAATACTCCTGGCTCCGCCGGTTGCGTCGGTCCCGGCGAGTCATACTATACCCATGGAGGCCAATCATGGGGATCTCAATGGAGTGAAAACCCTCCAATCGAGGATTAGTCCAACGGAGTCCTGAGTGGTGAACAGGATGTTTGAGGTCTCCCAATACTGGCTCAATACGTCGATGTTCTGGCTGGGGGCCAAATTGTTGGAGAGAGGAGATGTGCCAGCCTGGAGCATGCTTAATCACAAGGTCCATCTCCCGGAGAGAGCATAGCTTTTGAGCGACGGGAAAGCTGGTTCGAAACGGCAGTCCCTCCTCAAAAGAAGTATAAATCCGATCTTCGTCTGTGGCATTGATGGCCCATGGCATCCTCCGAAGCAGAAGTGTTCTCTGCATCAAAGGGAATAAATCCCACCCGATTGAGCATTGGCGAAGGCTTATGAGCCGGCGAACGGCATGAAGGTTCGGAACATCATCATCTTCGAGAAGGGCCGGAATGTTCGCGCCTCTAACCAAAAGCGCGTCGCGTTCAACGTCAAAGGTAAACCTTTGACCGGTGGTGGAGCTACGACCGGTAAGGGCTCGAGTCTTGAGAAGGATGTTTCGGAATTCGTGGCATGTCGCCATGATAGCGCGGATTGTTTCGTGCTCGTTGGTGCTCACCATCCTTCCGCTCGTGGTGAGGTGTTCTGGTAGGATCATTGGAGGGATCGCCAACTGGATAATTTTGATCTGAATCTCCGGAGGGAGATCCATGAATCCCGGGCCTGCCATCTTTCCAACCGATATGCCGTTAGGATCGACAATCTCTGTGTTGTTTCTTCTGGATATCTAATGGTGGGCTATGTCGAAAGAAGACGCGACGTGATGGAAGGGAATTGAGATACGTGAGTCAACTGAGGTTCTTGAGGTTAGTCCGGTATGATTTAGAATGGAAACAAGTAAAGACTGGCTGCTCACTGTAGATATCAAGGTTCTGCCACGAGGCTTAGGATGTCACCGTTGGGAGAGAACGACTATGAGTTGACGAGGTCGTTGAAAAGGACCGGCAAGGGACGATAGGGTGTATGATGTAGAGTCCCGCGTCAACAATAGAATAAGTGTCGCAAGAAAGTCTCGACCATCGAGACCTTCTTGTCAGTACTTTCTGCGATGAATGTGGTGAGGAAAGAAAACTTTTCGGGAGGTCGGAAGCTGAGGAATGAGATAAGCAAGGCCTCTGATTCTTACAGTGGATTTGAAAACTACTGGCACTGGCATAGGTCAAACCCTTTGCCAGTGACACACTAGCCCCGTGATCGGGACACAAACAGCGTTGGGCTCAGGGCCTGTGACTGAGCTATTGGCGGACACAACGCCAAGTACTAGTCCACTATTGGACTAGAGAAGAGAGCCCTGAATACCATGGTTGGTTTTGAACAACTAAAAACAAGATGGAAGAAATACTGCTTGTTTACTTCGGATACTGAGACTTTGTAGCTGTTCGGGCCATCAAACAAGAACAACAAGTCACGACTGGCGAGAACAGGATAGCGACTCAAAGTTAGATCTGCCTATCCCAAAAGATGTTTACTTCTTCAAACTGACTTTCAAAGCTAAGAAAAATACTTAGTAAATCTCGAAATCCTCAACCAAATGCTCCGCATCATGAAACAACATATCCACATCAAGCCCATACAAATAACAGTCGCCGACCAACATCCAACCCTCGCCCTCCCTCCTCCTCAACAGAAACGGCTCAGTCGAACCAGGAAAATAAACAACCCTATCTCCCGCTTTCGCTCTCGGACTCGCCAGTCCCAAAGACCCCTTCTCACTTGTGAAAAGACATCGACCATAGCTCGCAAAGGTAAAAATTTCAGAAAACTCTCTGAGATCATACCCAATAACTTCAGGTTCTTCGTTTGACTTCTCTTCCGAGCTTGTGTCAGGGTCCTTCTCTTCTGAATCTTTCCCGACGCTTAACCACCAGAGATAGAACTCGTGATCGCGAAGAAACATTGATGGATCTGCTGATTCGAGAATACCGGCGCCGCAGTGTCGATACCATTGTGTGAAACCCACGCCAGTGCTGAAAAGCTCAGAGCCATGAGTTGCTGTAAGTGTCGTCGCAAAGGCTTTACTGACTGATGATTCATCCGCCTTCCACTCAGGTATCAGCTTCACAGCAAGACTTTCCCACTCCTTCATCACCCTTTCAAAGCCCTCAGTCCCCGGTGCATGACCAACACCATCCTCAAGTTCCGGCCCAACCTCCCGAATCGTATCTACCATTTTCCCCCTGATCGTCAAACTTCCGTGTTTCGAGAACGTCAAGCCTGGGAGATACTCCCTTCCAAGGAGTTCCCTAGGAAAGCTGAGCTGTGTTCCATCTGCACACCGAACGTCGTAGTTCTCCTCCGCGTCTTCGCGATACGGTGCGTACCAATTACCACCAGGGAGACTGTTACTCGAAACATCCGTGAAATCAGGGACCCACGATGGCAGGTCTGGATAGCTGCGCTTTACACCGATATTTTCCAGAATACTGAGATCTTTGGTGAGTTTGATCACAGCCTCCGTGAACTGACGAAAGATATCTTCCACCGGCTGATCATAGTCAACGGGTATGAACCCGGGTTCAAACAAACCCAAGATACCATAGATCTTATCCCGAATCTCAGTAGTCTGACAAACACGACTATACCTCAAAATACTCATCGGATCACTTCCAACTCCAAGCATCCTCAGACTCCAAACATGACTATCCGGATCGAATCCCCTGATCGGATGATCACCTTCACCGCCTCGCGAAGTCGACAGTCCCTTCGCACCACCCGAAAAGTCAGGTTTATAACTGATCTCCACGTTCCTCCAAAGCGTCTCCTCCTCTCCGCACATCATGACCGCTCTTTTCGCAACGGCGATTTCTTGGATCACCCATGTGCGGAAGAACCAAGGTCTTTTGACAAGCGCGGCCCAAGCACGGCGTTTATCTTCCGGTGGAGGTGAGCCACTGTCGAATGAGTCGGGGATAGTCTCGTCGTTGAGATGTTGGAACACAAGGTGGGAATCATCCGCTGCGTCACCGAGCCATACTACGACTTGACGCGCTGACTTGTAAATGTCGCCCATGATGCGGACTTGTTGGTTTCGTTCGCCGTGGACGGATTGATTGATGCATAGGGCGTCGACCCAGAGTGTTCGGACGGTGTCGGGGGAGCGAAGATGGATAAGTGCTGAGTGGAGGTTTGGTGTGATTGAGATATCTTGGTCGCCGAGGTTGATGTATCTGACTGGTGTCATGTCTCCCCAGACGTAGGACACAGCTTCGTAGTCGGGCTGGAAAGTGATATCGCTGTCCACTAGGCGTCCAACAAGAGGGTCTGTCCGGTTACTCGATGGGAGTAGTTCTAGAAGTCGAAAGGAGCTACTGCTGCTCAGAGGCTGATACAGCTCTGCTGAAGAGGTTGCCACCAAAGGAGAAGATGGCACAAAGTCGTTTACTTCCTGCGGAGTTGCGTGAGGAACCTCCTGCCTGCTTTTGACCATACTCTCGACTTTCTCATCCCAAGCTCGTCTCTCAACCGCGACAGCCGGCGCAACACGCTTCCTCACCTCAGAATAAGAAGGCATAGTCCACCCCTCATCACCAGAAATCTTCTTCTCCAGCATTCCAACTATCTCCAGCCACTTCTCAACACCGCAGACCGACCCTCGACCCCCTTTCCGTATCAAAGTAGGTGCATCGGCATGTAAGCCAGGACACTTAGCATCAGCCCCGGCTTCCAGCAACATCTTGACAACCGGCAGGTTATGTTTGATGATAGCGGTATAAAGCCAACTCGTCTTCGTTGCTTTGAGATTCTCACGATGAAGTCGTCGTCTTGAAATAAGTACCATGTCGATATGCGGACCTGGGTACTCGGTAATGAGATATCTCGTCTGCTCAAGGTACATATTTCCAGATGAAAGAAGCCAAGTCACCATCTCTCCCCAAGACTTGGGATCATCGGGTAGTTTCGCACCGTATTCACCAACAGACCATCGCAAAAGATTCAACCGTCCTCTCTTCAGCGCTCTCTCTTGCAAGGCCGCAGGATCAAGCTGGATATTGTGAGAAACTAGCAACTTTGCCATATCAACACTTGAAACCCAAGTTGGTACTTCATCTAGTCGTATGCCTCTGTCAAGAAGCCCGGTGGCTGCATCAAGCTTATTGTTCCGCGCGCAATGTTTCAGTACAGCTTGGTAATCCGAATCTGGAAGATCACTGGCTCGTGCCATGAACACTTCCAGATAGCCGACAAGGTCTTCATCGCTCCTATAAGGGCCCGCTGCTATCGCGACTTCGATGGGCGTCATATCCTTGTTGGTGCCTCCGCGGTTGAAAATACAGTGCCGACGACAACTCGCACTTTCGCCATGTTTTATGAGAGCCAACGCGATGTCGATGTTACAGCCCGCGGCTGCAGCATGCATCGCCGCTCCAAAGGTCGACCCTTCGCCTTGCCCACCATCTACCATTCTCGGGCCAGCGACATCAGCAGCAGCACCATACGCCAGCAGCTTCTTTACAACATCCAGCGCTCCCTTGCGACAGGCGATGTGAAGCATCATGACTAATCCCGGATCATCTTTGGGACATGAAAGTCCCTCTTCGAGGAGATACATAATGATCCCGCCCCAGGTAGTTTCGATATCAAGATCCCATAAAGGTATGTCAAAATTCACACCCGGAGGCCAACCAACCCACGTCATGTCGACGATCTCCTGCGGCGAGATCAAAGCGTCAAGGGTGACCTGAAGAAGGTTGGCTTGTTCCTTGGGCAAATTTCCCACAGTCTTTCCATCTTTAGCAGCCTTTCGTATCTTGGCAAGTTGCTCTGGGGACCTGCGTGGCTGGACTGTCGAAATATCCGCTCCAGCCTCGACCAAGAAGCAGACGAGCTCCTGATATCCCAGCATACAGGTATAAACAAGCGGTGAGTACCCCTCATCATCAAAGCAATTCACCGCTGCTCCATGAATCATAAGCAACTTGAGCATCTCCAATAGCTCAGGATTCGACTTCTTCGGGTCTTCACCCAAGTACCCCGGGTCAATCTTTGCCCTCTTGATTGCAACCTGCAGCAAATCCCTCTCGCCAGCAAACAAGTCTCCCATTTCATCTTTCTCCAGCAGCGCACGCGCCATCGGATAGTCCACCCTCAGCTCTTTGGCTAGGCACCTACGCACGGCTTCGACGTGGTACGTCTTGAAGACGGGTGATCTTCCATGCAGAGTGAAGAATTCGTCGAATTTTATCTTTTCGAGATGGGTGAGGAGTTGATCCCTTTCTACAGAAGGTTTTCGACTACAGAGGCTGAGGAGCCATTTGCCGGCGATTTCTTCTGGTGAGACCATTTTGGTGCATACGGTGAGTAAGACGTAGCTAGTCAGCCTGGCTGACGATGTTGAGACTCTGCCTTGCAAGCGGGGCTAATTGATCCTGGTTATAGTAATTTAGCGCTATATCCATGATCACCCGGTCTTGTCCTTGAGCCATGATGTAAATTAACCTGCTGCATAAGCGACAGACGCCGTAACTGCAAATCAACTGATTTCGAAGCAGATGGTATAGAAGTTCCCTGTTATCGCCAGCATTGCTGTGATCGACATCGAGCTTTTGGATCTGCAGCTTGTCACTTACTAGACTCCCTCTTACATCTGAGCAATTCCGCTAAAATCTCATCAAGAGACCAACTCTGATGCCAGCATACGCAACAGCTTAAGCTTGCCTGGGTAAGTTGAAGTCTATCAAAGTTCAACCGCCGATCAAAATCCTTGCGCAGATCTGGGGAAACCCTGAAGCCACGTCTAACTTGGTCATAGCCCCAACGCCACGATCCGTTTCTGTCTCTGATCTGTCAATTGCCTTTATCCGAATAAGCCCAACCAGATAAAACAACGCTTCCCGTGGTTGTTCTAGTGGTGTATATCCAAGCCTCGTTGTAATGTGGCAGATCTTGGCGCAGATTGTTTGCTTGGACCTGGATCTTTTGAGCTTTACCCCCGATTTGAGTTTATTCTATACAGTAATGCAGAACCATGTTTTTGGTACATCGCCATGGCCAAGGAAATGGAGAATGCAATATGCAATATTTAAAAAGCCCATCGTCCATTCCTTTGATTCTCATTTACACCCGTTCTATTCTATCAATTTACATCGTCAATGTTCAAACATGGGTCAATACGGCTTTTTAATACTGGACAGAGATGTCCGTGAAGTTCCCGGCGAAGTCGACATGAATACCGTCAGCATATTCTGGGGCTTTTCTCTCGGTGTGGCTGTTTTCTCAGTGGCCAAGGCGTCAGAGCAGAGCTGGAGGGCATGGAAGAGGCGTCGACGTGTGACATCCTATGTCGCTATGATCTGGGCTGTTTGGTTCAGTAGTATGGTTCTTGGATGTTTGGCCTGGGGATTTCAGCGGCAATACATAGATCCAAGGTAAGTTAATCTTGTTACCTGTTGCAATTCGAGTACTTACTCATTCTGGTCAAGCTTCGGGTTCTACTTCTCTGTTGGTAGGTTTCCAGTTCTCGATCACTGGGGGGTCTTCTGACATGCGTTAGCTTTGTTTTGGGCACTTCAACTCCAGTTCCTTCTCCAAATCATCCTCAATCGTCTTGGTTTATTGATGGTCGTCCCCGGTCGAGCCGCACGCCTTAAATGGATCGTATTCGCAATCATATTGGCAGTTAACATCAGCGTGTTCATCATCTGGATGCCAGCGCGCTTGCAAATCAACGACCAATGGATATGGCTGAACAGTATCTGGGATAGATGTGAGAGAGTCATCTTTGCCCTGGTAGATGGAGCGTTGAATGCATATTTCATCTACCTCGTTCGGTCAAGGCTTATTGAGAATGGTTTGACCAAGTATATCCCCCTTTCTCGTATGAATCTGTTTCTTATTTTTGTGTCTCTTTCCTTAGATGCAAGTAGAAAGACCTCCCATTATCTCTCAAGCCACTGACGTATTCCAGGTTGTTCTGGTTGGCCTCATGTCTTTGCCAAGTAGTCTGGTGTGAGTACCTTGACTCTCAGTAGGTCTTGACTGACAGTCCGCAGTTATCTCTCATTCCAACCAGTGTGTTATCTCCTCAAACTACAAATCGAGATGAAAATGGCAGAACTCATTACAAAGATCGTCCGGTCGTCAGGTGCAACAGGCAAAGACAACACTTACTGCCACCACTCCAGTGACAATCATGCAAAAAGCATGGCAACAAATACCATAACCAAGCCTACCGCCACTCATTCCTGTCCAGGTGTCCATAGAACATCTCCCGGAACCAACACCGCCCATATCGAAGCTAGGGACCGCGATAGCTCTATTGAGATGGAACTTCAAGGGCGCATGAGTACGAGTCAAAGCGGGATCTTGAGGACAGTAGGGACAACGGTCGCGAGTTCAACTACTGAGATTCGTGATTATCACCGTTCAGATAGCATAACAAGCTCGACGGCAGGCTTGGCCTTTTAGCCGATCGGCTAGTCACTATTAATGTTTAACAACTAATCCATTAGCCACCCGTTCCTATCCATTTATCCATAACTCATTCCCCGCAGTTGTCACATGCTGTACTAAGACCGGTAACTATAATCGCTAACAGCTTATGAAATAACACCGCTGCAGCGGCAGCGTACTGCGGCAATCCACCGCGGCAACCCACTGCGGCAGCGTACATGTATCAAACTTTAGCCTTCCATATAAATACTCTTTAGGATCAATACATAAACCTTCTAATAATTAACCAAAACGTGAAATTTCTTGCATCTCAGTCTATGTCTCAATTACCCTCACGCTCATCTACAGAGATGCCAGTTGGGGAATTTATGCCTAACGGTCTAGGTACCGATCCGCCCTTTACAGCAGTCGACCCTACACTTGGTTACAAATTGTTCCACGTCATGTTACGCATCCGAGATCCTGTGCAATCTCTACACTTCTATATCGACCTAATGGGAATGCGAACGGTTTTTACTATGGACACCGGCCCTTTTACGATATACTATCTTGGTTACCCTCAAACGGATGAGCATCGGGCAGATTTAGGCAAATTTGGCCGTGATACTCTAGCTCAGTTAGCCTACACCCCAGGACTTATTGAGTTGTACCATGTACACGGGTCAGAAAATGAGCCTCAGGGCTACTACAGTACTGGAAACCAACCACCGCATCTGGGCCTCGGACATATCGGATTCTCTGTACCTGATGTCCCCCGCGCCGTTGAACGCTTGAAGAATCACGGTGTTGAGGTGATCAAAGATTTAGGTGCTGCTAGTCGAGAAGATGTTCCCTTAAGCCAATGGGAAGCTGAAAAGAAAATTGGACTGGGTGATCTTCACCCTGCTTACCAGCATGTATTTGGACAGATTGCGTTCGTGAAAGATCCGGTAGGTATCAATCCTTATCAACGTATCACTGCTGTATAGTTCATAAGAAAACGCTAATAATAACTCTTAGGACGGATACACTGTCGAATTGGTTCCCCAGAAACTTCAAGAATGAGTGCAAAGTAGTTATGATTGTCATCACTTGGAAAGCCTAACGAGCCTAACGAGAGGACTGGCTTTTTAGCCGATAGACTAGCCACGATTAATATTGATGTTCCCTATCTACCCCGTTAATCCAATTTACACCAATGCTACACTATTATCAGAGATTAACACCCAACATTCATAGATTACTAACTCTCATTCTCGCGTATACACAAGCTTCCCGCCACTCACTCTCCCCTCCCTCATATCAGCCAGTCCATTCAAAACGCCTTCTAAGCCACTCCCCCCTCTATTCAGAAAAACACGCGGCGGCTTCAATAGTCCTTTTTCGAACAACTTCTCAGCTATTTTGACAAATCCTCTCTGAAATGCAAAGTCTGCTGGTACAGCCTCGTAAAACTCATTCTCATACATCCACGGATTACCTGTGGCTGAGTATGCGAGGATAGATTCGGCGGTGACGTGAGGATTGCGGCGTTTGACTTCGTGTTCGGGGCCAGGGTTGAGGGAGATGTAGATTGCGGATGGAGACTTCTGGAGGATTGCTGCGGAGGTCGTGAGGCTGGTGGGATTGGGATGGGTGTCGAAGACGTGGAGAAGGGGACCGCCTGAGATTTTGAGGATGTCGTCGATGAGAGTTTTGGACTTGTAGTCGAGGACATGATCGGCGCCCAAAGACTTGACATAGTCTGCATTACCGGGTGACGAAGTAGTAATAACTCTGGCGCCAGCGAGCTTTGAAAATTGGATTGCCGAGATCCCCATGGCTGTACTGCCACCGTAGATAAAGACAGGGAAGGGCTCTTTGGCTGGTTCATCTGGCAGGGGAAGATGAAGATGCTGGTATAATCCAACGCCCTGTCAAAATTCTCATTAGCATGAGCTAGCAACGTTTGGAAGGAATCGCGGTACCATCGTGATAAGCGCAACTCCCTGAGTCGCAGCATCTTCGTCGCTCATGTTATCAGGAACCTTCATCTGAATATCTCCCTTGACATGAATCAAGTGCGCAAAAGCACCATCATGCTTCCGCAGAATATTCCTAACGATATCTCAGTACTGGCCATACACCAACGTCTCAAATCTACATACTGCCCGACGACACCGCCAGCGATGCGATCCCCAACCTTGAAGTCCCTCTCAACTCCAGGCCCAACTTCGACAACAACACCGGCATAGTCTGTCCCAACAACAGCACCAGCGCAACTCTCATCACCTTGTAGGCCAAGATGGTAAGCATCATCTGGGTTGATAGCCCAAGCGGTGGGTTTGACTCTAATGTAGCCGGGCTCAAGCGCTGGCACAGGAATGTCCTGAACCTCGGCGTGGCCTGGGCGAATATTAACAAGAGCTTTCGTAGTAGACATGGCGTATTTAATGAATCAATGATAAGCAGTGAGTTCCTTGGCCTGCCTATAAGTACAGCTGTAAGTTGAGGATTACGTGATGTGATAAGATATGCATGACTAATTGTCGTATCACCGCATATGTCAGCCGTGAAGACACAACGTTATGCTAATCTGCTTATCAATAGTTGTGCATCCCTGACTCTTTATCTGACTCTATAAGAATTGGAAGACGGCATTAGATTGCGGTTTGATAATGTCAGCTAAGGACCCCGTGGCACGCCTACCCAGGTCATAATGTCAGGCTGCAAATAGCCTTGTCTCAATCACTGAACCTAATTCGATATTATAGTAAATAAAATCCACACAAATAAGGGAATAAGAAAACTTCTTTAGATATTATAGCATAATTCAGAAATAACAGACATAAACTCTATATCATTTTTATCATACTAGCTTTTATTAGTCAGAATGTCTGTTCTCTCCTCTACCCTGCAAGCCTCGGTTTGCTTGACTCCCCCACCAATCAAATCCGGGGTATTGAGCTTAACTCCCCTTCCCCACACCCCGCAAACCTCGGCTGATTTCATTTGGCTACTAATGAAGTCTGGGGTATATAACCCATCTCTCCTATTTACTTCCTCCTCTCACATACTCACACCAACATTCTCAATTACTCATCATGTCAGGTCCTGGTGTTGGTTTTGAGTACCCGCCCGTCAAGGTTACGTGGCTGCAACGCGATGTCCTCCTCTTCGCCAACACCATCGGCGCTACCGTCGATGAGTTACACTTCCTCTACGTCTGTCGCGATCCTCCCTAGAAACACTAAACTCTTATTGACAAGACACAGGAGTTTCATCCGAAATTCGCCGTCTTCCCTACCTACCCCGTCATTCTTCGTAAGTCCCGCTACCCTAGCCTTTCCCCGCACTCATTAACCCATCGCAGCCTTCAAGAAGGATTCCCAGGAAGTCGTGGACTACTACAAGGAAAGCAAAGCTGTTCAAATCCCCGGTGTTCCCAAACTAGACTATACGCGCGTTGTCGATGGCCAACGGAAGATCCAATTCCTAAAGCCCCTCCCAACCACCTCCGCGGGTCGCAATTTCGAAACCCGTCAGAAGGTCATCGGCGTCTACGACAAGGGTCGCCCAGGCACTGTCCTCGAGACGCAGATGGACCTTGTCGATGTAGACTCTGGCGAGGTGCACGCCCGAGTCACCAGCAGCGGCTTCTTTATCGGCCAGGGCGACTGGGGAGGCCCCAAGGGTCCAGCTACGGAGAACTACCCTCCACCGAAAGACAAGGCGCCTGATGCTACGATTGAAGTGCAGACTAACGCTGAGTTGGCGCTACTGTATAGGTTGAATGGCGATTATAATCCGCTACATGCTGACCCTGAACCTGGGAAGAAGATGGGTTTCGGAGGGACAATTATGCATGGGCTGTATTCGTGGAACTCGACGGCTCATTCGCTCTTGAAGGAGCTGGGTGGTGGAGACCCTTCCAATATCAAAGAGTATCAAGCCAGGTTTGCTAGCCCTGTGAGGCCGGGCGACAAGCTGGTTACGAATGCGTGGGTTATGGGGGTCAATCAGGACGGTTGGTCCGAGGTGAGATTTGTTACACAAGTCGCCAGTGGCAAGGTCGTTTTGAGTAATGGATTGGCTTTGATCAAGGTTATAGACAAGGGGAAGAGTAAATTGTAAATTTGTTTTCTCAATAGAGAGACATTTATCAATCAATCTGGCGTTCTGTCGTAATCTGAGTAAAAGATGGAAGATAAGACATAATTTGCAACTTTAGCCTCATATTCTATTTGTTCTGAACTTTGAAATCTTGGAAGTTGTCGTCAAGAGCACTGTAGCAAATCTTTTGGTACAATAGAAGCCCTCCCATCAAGACCAAAGACTCAACTCTCTTTCCAGGGTTATTACCCATTATGCCACGATCTTGTATCAGAAATAAGGCTGTCGTTGTATATCCAGCAAAAATCCTTGATCCACCTACTCTCCGCCTCTTAATGCAAGTTGGGCCATTACAAGCAGCAGGTCCATGGATAGTAAAAAGGTAAAAACAAGTTTGGGTTGCGGAACCTACGTCCGATAAAGTCAAAAACATATGACAATCTGCAGTGAGCATTACGGGTATAACGGATCGATCAAGGTGGTAACAGAATATAGCGGGGTTCACATTGGCGATGAACCCGTCGAATATGAGGCCCTTCGCATGTGAGTAGCGTTCAAGGCGGCTTGTCAGCGGCAGGCAAGGGTTATTGGCTCGTTCTGACAAATGAAGAGCGGCGATGGGAAGCGGCAGTTGATCCTTGACCACCTCGTCATATGAAAGGTGTAAAGTTGATTCGTCGTATACTGGCTTGCTTCATTCGCATACATCAAGCCATAGAATGATGTGTAATACGCGTAGTTTGACAGGTGAAAGTGATATATCGCAATGCTGCTATGCAATGTAACGCTATGCTACAGCGTTTAACTGTCCCAATCAGGTAGCGACTAACCCCATTCCAGCTCCCCCATCCGCGAATAGCGGTGATCATTGCTGCCCAAGCAGTCGATGACATCCTCAGCCGTCGTTGCAACCCGCAGAATAGTAGCATCCTCTGTGCCAACAAACCCTGCCTGTGCAGCTTGACGAACCCAGTCCATCAAACCCTTGTAGAAGCCGCATACGTCAAACACACAGATGCCGCATCGATGAATACCAAGCTGGTACCAAGTCGTTGTCTCCAGGAGTTCCTCCAAGGTACCGTATCCGCCACTCAGAGCTACAAAGCCGCTCCCTGGAGCGCCACCAATGACTGACTCGATCATGAGTCTTTTACGTGTATGCATGTCTTTCACAACAGTCCTGCTCCCGAATTTTGAAGGATCGGCCCTTTTCTTGGTGAGTCTTTCTTCGTACTTTGCGAGTGCAACCGGAATGATGCCTTGGACGGCACTTTGTCCTGAGAGTTGCACCAGAGTGCTGGCGATGGCGCCCATGATCCCAGTCGTGCCGCCACCGTAGACGAGTTTGTAGTTATTTTGGTGGAGAGCAAACGCAAGCTTTTTAGCTGCATCGATATGACCCGGGTCGTTCCCTGGCGAAGATCCGCCACTAGCGTAGGTTAGCTTAAGATCGGCAGGTAGGAGAGAAGGGAGATCTACAATAGACCCACGACTCGAGAATTGGAGTTAGAGTTCAATGTGCCGTTAGTGGGAACTTTGATCGTTCGCAAACTGTAACAAAGATCGTTGAGCATTGAGATAGCAGGTATCTCGACATCAGACATCCAGGAAGTCTTGTTAGTGACAGGGAGGCTCATGCATACTACGCCGGCTTGGTGTAAGAAAGGGTTCAGGACGGAGCGAATCCACTCGAGTTGATGGAAGCCGTACTGCAAGGTATTGGCGTTCATGAGTGCGAGACCCCTTTGAAACGACGACTGCCGGGCGTTGCGTGGCGAGTCTGCCTCGAGATAGGGATAGAACTCTTGATACCCAATGGCCTTCCATACACCCTTATGGAAGCAGGCGTTGTCATCCATCAAATTCTGCTGCAGGTCTCTCAGCGTCTCAAGTTCGTCAAGGAGACCCCTCTCGAGCATTTCGCTGGCTCTAACTTGGATAAATTTCCAGTATGTGGACTGGCGCGGGATCAGAGTTGCAGAAATAAACCGATACTGCCGCTTGAACGCCTCATGCAACAAAGGTATTGCGAGAGACGTTGAGCCGCCGACAAGAATAGGGAGGTTCCCTCGGTTTGTAATTTCGTCCATCTTGTCAGCAGCCAGGGCCACAAACTCATTGGGTTCCTCATCAGCCTCGAGATAGTCAATCAGGTGATGAGGAACATCATCTATCTCTTGAGCAGTGGGCTTGGCGGTGATAATGCTTCCCGCCTTGTAGCACTGTAGACTATCGACAGAGATGACCTCGCTCGGAAAGGTCTTCGCAATGGCAACCCCCAACTTGGTCTTCCCGGAGGCGGTAGGGCCAAAGATAGCGATACAGAGCTTTTGATTGGGTTGCATGGCTGTGAGACTGATGTGAAGATGCAAGGAGGTGACTAGATAAGCAGGCCATGAAAGAAGCAAATCAAGCGTTTAAATAGCCTACATCCAGTTTGGTCAATTACGCATTTGTGAAAATACTCATCAACAAGATCATGCCGATAGTCTCGTTCCTGTCCAAATGCGGTAGGTAATACGCATATTCTACTCATAACTGCGTTCTATGATAAGTACGGAGTACTTCCGCAAGCTATCCTATGCATGATACCGAATAGGGACAGTTTGTCACCGCTTCATAAGCTGGCTGACAGGGTTATTCGCAATTAAGATTTGACAAGGTCGATCAGAGAAAGATGAACAGGGGTCTTGATAGCAATACCTATCAGTCGCGGTATATCGCTCGGAATGATGTTCCGTGGTCAACTGCCGCAATTAGTATGTTGTCACAGACGCGAGCGGAGGTTATTGATGCCGCGATCCTCCGAGACCGACAAATAGGTATGTTGGTTAATTTCAAGTATTGTTTTCTCTTATTCACTATCTATACCCCTTGGTGAAACCTTCTGGGTAAAAACTTATATCGGGGAAAGAAAACATCGTGTTGTCATTTATCACCTATGTTCGCAGCCTAAAGCTTAACTTTATAGGAGGTAGTCCACCCCACAGCTATCTATACCCTGTAGGTCTGGACATCATGTTCTCTGGCATGGAAGCGAAGCCATGAAGTAGACAGGTTGTAAAGCATGAAGTGACGCTGCAGCTACCGAGAGTATCTATGACAATTAAGGCAGGTCACCTTGGAAAGACGAAGCTAAAATGACGGAGTTCCTTGATATCGTGCTATTTCAGATAGAATCCTGCACATATCTTGTTTTCATCCCTGCTGCTTTGTTTCACCAGTTCGTTCCTCGCTTACAGAAGGCAGATCTAGCCCAATCCATGCTATGGCATTAAACTAGCTCCCGACTTATTCCTGAGGGTAGCAAATCGGCTACTTTAATTGGTAATGCTTTTGAAGTGAGGCCAATATGATCTTTTCTGCTATCTCTTCTCCATGTTTGCCATATCTGCAAAGGCGCAGCTCTACCTGCCCATGCTGTCGAAATACCAATGAGCCCATAGGAACAGACTGTTTAGTTGGTGCTCTTATTGACCGGAATCAAATCATTCCGGATAGCACCAAATCTCTTATAACCTCTCCATCGGTGTTACCCCAATTCCTTCCGATATTGCCTCCAATCCATAATATCGTTTCAACAATGTACCCGACCTTACTGGCCATCGGAACCGGGGCATTATCGGGAATACTTGCCCACATTCTAATATTCAGAAACGGGGAATGGGATCTTTACACTACCAAGATCCTACAAGGACTTCTCATAGTCTTTGGTCTCCTGGTACTGAGCTTCAAGAGGCTTGGAGCTACAGAGGCTGGGTCACCGTACAGTTTCTTGGAGTCCGTCATAGCATCCATGTACATGGTTTCGTTTCTCGTTTCAGGGACCTTTTTCAGCATTTTTATTTACCGCATCAGCCTCTTCCACCGCTTATCAAAATTTCCGGGACCTTTCATGGCCAGAGTCTCCAACTTGTATCTCACCAAGCGTTCCGTTGCTAGCTTTCAGCTCTACAGGGAGATTCAAGACCTTCATAGAAGTTATGGTGATATTGTGCGCGTCGGCAAGTAGCAACATCCTCTGCTCATACTAATGGTGCTAACCTACTGCTGTGTAGGACCTCAGCACTATCCATCCTCGATGCTAAGGTCTTCCATGCAATACACTCCAACAATTCGCCGTGTAGTAAAGGACCTTGGTACAACCTCGAACAGCCAGCAATCTCTCTTCATATGTCGCGAGACAAGAACGATCATTCTCGTAGGCGACGAGCCTGGGACAGGGCGTTAAGCTCAAAGGGTGATTTCCTATGAGTCACTATCAAGCTTGCGAAGGCTAACTAGTTCACATAGCTCTCCGTGACTACGAGGCCCGAGTGGTCAAATACACCAGCCAGCTACTCGATCGACTAGAACAGAGCCAAGATATACCTATTGACATTGCAAAGTGGTTCAAGTTTTACAGCTTCGATACCATGGGCGACCTGACTTTTGGTCAGAGCTTCAACATGCTAACAGACGGCGTCAAGCATCCATTCATGGCCCTGGTCGAGTCGCATATGGTGATGGCCGGGACCTTCAGCCAACTGATCTGGATGTTTCCCTTGTTCAGGGCGATGCCGTTCCTTGGTAGGGAAGACGCTATCTTGCAGAAATGGCTTGAGACTCAAGTTCGGCATCAAGAACAGGTATGGTATGACAGTATTTAGCCTTCCATTCAAAGACTGACATGATGATGCAGAATAAACCAGACCTTCCGAATATCTTCTCTTGGCTTCTTGAGGATTACAAATCCCAGCTATATCCCAAAGAGCAAGATTGGTTAAACCTACAAGCTGACATGCAGCTTATAGCCGTTACTGGAAGGTGAGGGCACGTCCTTCGTGGCAGAGGCTGTCAGCTAATCTTTTATCCAGTGACACCACTTCTGTAACACTTACTTGCCTGTTCTTCTTATTAGCTACGAACAAAAATGCATGCGTTCGGCTTCAAGAGGAGATCGATGACCTGTTTTCCAGCTCTTCAGAACCAAGTCACTCGAGCTTTTCCAAGTTGACATATCTTCAAGCTTGTATTGATGAGACACTTCGACTCTTTCCTCCAGTTCCATCTGGATTGCAGCGCATGACACCTGCAGAAGGGCTGCGAGCCGGTGACATCTTCATTCCTGGAAATACTGTAGTGACTGTTCCCTCATACACACTATATAGAGGTATGCAGCACTAAAGGAGCAAATCACCGTTTCAACTATTGTCTTGAGTTAACCTGGCTTATAGATGAACGGTACTTCACCGCTCCGGATGACTTTGTCCCAGAGCGCTGGACCACAAATCCAGATATGGTAAGGGACGGTTCGGTATTTGCGCCATTCTCAGTTGGTAAGTCATGACCGTCTCTGTAACCGTATTTCTTGAGTTTCCAAGGCTAATCGCATCGTTCAGGTCGCTATGCATGCGTGGGTAAGCAATTGGGCCTCATGGAAGTTGGCTATGCTACGTGTATGATATTGCATCGCTTTGATGTCTGCCTTTCTGGCGCGGAAAATATCAGCAAGTCGGCGTTTCTTGAGGGTCTTAGAGACCATTTCACACTGGATGCGCCTCGGCTTCATCTTGTATTTACAGCTAGGAAGCACTAAGTTATTTTGCCCGTCAAGCTTTGTTTACTTAAAGGTAATTGCTCTTTAATTCAACCTGGCGGTACATAATAGGTAGCTCAATTTCTGCGGCTCCATTCACGAAATCTTTTGAAACCGCGGTAAATCGAACTATGAAACTGATTTCTCTGAACTTGTATTGTATAATACTACTCGGCCATCGCGTCTCACTCTGTTCCTCCTCGTACCGCAACTTAGTACAGGTTAACTTGCTATAACAAGGACAGGGATCATTAACAAACAAGTTAACTTATTTAAGACTAGACCCTTGCTGCCGGGTCACTAACCCACCGATCTCGCTCGTCTGAAACCCCTAAATTTTACACCATCACATCCCAATATCACTATCTACAGCCCAACAGTACCAGCACCTCCTAGTTTTGCCCTTGACCAGTTCACGTGCACTATTTTACTGCATCATGTACTCATTCAGCTGTCAAATCTGCGGCGTCGACATGGCCATCGCCCGCATCCGGACTCCAGATGAGCCGCCTAGCGCAGCTTGGAACTTGGAGGGTGCTGACTACGTCGGCTTCCGTAAATGGCCGCATCAAGATCAATTTGAGGACGAAGATAGCCTAGAATGCGCAACAGAAGACCGGGGTCCAGCTAGACCTCCAGAAGTTGACGCATGGCCGGATCAGGACGATGAAGATGGCCCAGATTGGGCGCCAGATGCACAGAGTTCCAGCGAAGAAGATCCTCTGGAGTATGATTCTGGATGGGAGACTGATAATGAAGATATAGAGGCTGAAGTCTCATCTACATCTGATGAGGAGGACAGCGACTACTCGAATGATGCACCCGACCAGTACCCTCTTACGGATCTCTATACCTGCGAATTTCCCGATCGCTTGCCACATGGCACATGGCACAACGGTCTTGCCTACTACACAGGCGATCGCAAGCATCCTGAGAAATGGTCTCTACTAAGTTCAGACGATTCAAACGTCCCCTCAGAGCACATCGCTTCACCTTCGTGCCAAAGTCTGCAAGGCATCAACGGCCATGTTCTCAGCGTCGCACAAATGAAGAACTGTCGAAATGTCCGATTTCTCGTCCCTAAGCCGTCGATGTGGAAAGCTGATTTCAGCGATCAACTTCTTGAGGGAAGCAGTGATAATCTATTCTATGTATCTGGAGAGTCAAGCGGTTCAAATATGATTGAGGGCAGACGTTTCAGAGGCATTCACTCGCTTTATCCACCACGACATGGATTGAAGGATATAAGTACCAGCTGGGTATATGTGGACGAAGGTTGCATGGTAAGTTTATTTGATGGCTTTGATAATAATAGGTACTAACAGCTATGCCAGGAGCTTGATTACTCGCTGGTTCCACTCCCGGTGCATTCATATTGTCTGGATCTGTATGCCAAGGCCTCACTCCGTCGTCTAGGGCACGTTGACTTGAATGGACTGTGGCACTGGCGTGAGATGCGGAATATTCCAGCTTCATACGGCCTTGAAGATCGTATTTCGGAACCGATACGGAAACAGATACACTTGCCAGAACTGCAGCGAGCCCGCACGCAGTGGGATTACCCTTGGCTCCATACACCTGGCGATGAGTGGCTTGTTGCAAATCCTGTCGAGATCCCCGGTATTTCCCGAGTTTTGGAGTCGTGCGTGAAAAAGTTGTGCTTGAAGGGATATGCACAGCAGACGACGGGGTTCTTAGCCTTACCCTCTGAGATCATCCAACATACTCTATCGTTTCTTGACATACCCGATGTCGACAGCGCGGCCAAGACTTGCAGAGCGATATTCAAGCTTGCGCAGCTAATATTCAGAGAGAGTGTACTGAGATCCATGCCTTGGCTGTGGGAGATTCTCGAGAATAATGAATATCCCGCGTCTCGTGATTGCCTGCCGACATGGGATCCTCTCTGCCCTCTGGGTATTCCACCACCAACACTCCCCATCGGATTAGAGTCTGAAGAGGAGGAAGAAGATCGATGGGAACCTATTCTCTTTGAATTCCCTGAGATGCAGCAAGTTTGCAAGGCGACCAAGGCTGTCAACCGCCAGCGCCGAGAGGAGATTATAGCACCTTATCATGAAAAGCTGAAGGTTTTGCTGCAGCATTGGCACAGCTTTCGCAGAAATGTTGAAGTTTGGATACATGGCAAAGGCGAGCGACGCGATATGAATTGGAGGCGAGTATGGTTCCTGTTCAACCCTGCGACGAGCCCGTTGCCAGGTATAAGAAACAGGGCAAGGATCTGGGAGGACTGCAAGACCATCATGGACTTTGTCGCCTTGGCTCGTGAGGGAGAGCATGTGGAAGAAAGGCATAAAGAGTTGAAAGCCAAGATATCAGACTTCGTTGATGAGAACTCATATGCGCTGCCTGATACAGTTCCAGATGTCCCTAGTTGGCTGCAAGCATATTAGTACCGGGTCAATGGCATTTCACCCATACATACAGCAAAAGGGAATCAAACTTTAGAGAATTCCCAAAATTATCCTGATACGATGGCTAGGATAGACTCAAGTTCGCGTGCCCATCATCAAGGCCATTGTAGTTCATGTCTCCCTCAGGGTCGCAAGTTTGCTGAAGAGGCAAGATTGATCAGTTATGAGGGTAACACTCAAAGTTTCAGAGCACCTCTCATATCCCAGCCAAGAAGAACATCATCGTTGCAAAGCAGCAGATGTAAGTGGGCATTCCCTTACCTCCGCCTCCTGAAATGGGGAGATCCGTTCACACCAGAAAGTAGTTCCGACGCGGGACTGAATCGGCACACATCAAGCTGTAAGCTACATATGCAGTATCACGATAACTGTGATAGAATAGTGAACATGCATACATATACACCAATAGCCAGTACTGCAACGCGCTTCATCGGGCGCTCATGCAGGGTATATCAGGCTCTAATATGCTCATCACCTTCTCCAATAGCAACTCTTTTTACAAGCCATGGAAAATAGGAGTGGTACCGAGGCAAGATTTGACGGCACAAGTGACATTATTCTCTTTGCAAATAAGGCTTCATGCGATAGGCTAGGCTCAGACCGGTTGCAAAAATGACAGTTCTCGAACAAGCCTCGAATTAGCTGATTGGCACCTCGCGGGGCCATCTGTTGGTGGCATTTACGCCAGGGTTACACCAGCCGTTGGTAGCCAACAGCATTGACATCTCCAGCCCTATCGCCATTCGATAACTTCTTCTGTTGGCTCCGGGCTTCGGACCCCGGATGGGAGACGCGTCACCGGTTTGCTGCAAGATGCAGTAAAGGTGTTGGTTGGTGGGGATTGAGAACAAACATGCATTGGAATGGGTACTGCTGGATAAAAGGTAGCCTGCCGTTACATCGTCTCTAACCATGCCGTATAATCGTCCACTTTTACTCTCGACCAGGCCAGCTCATCCTTATTGACCGATCCTCTATCCCCGCATTTCATGTTCGTATATCGCAACTTTATTGAACTATAACCTACATTATAATCTCGCAATGGCAGCTGGTAAGAATATTATCTAACTAGACCTCCGCTACCTCTAACAAACATGGCAGACGATGGAATTCCTGAGCCCTATCCCCCTGCCGCAAGTCTGCTTCAGCTCTTCGACGAACGGCCTGTTCCCAACCTTTCACCGAAAATTGTCGAAAGAATAACTTTCAAAGACGTCGATCCATCAGACCAAGCCGCAGCCGTTGTCGTGTCATTCCACGATGCCTTGAGAGACAATGATATCCAAGCTCTTCAAGACTGCTTCTTCGCTGATCAAGCTTACTGGAAAGATGCATTGGCATTTACCTATCATTTGCGAACCTTTTATACACCTTCGGTCATTGCTGCCAATTTGTTGGAAACTAACAAGATGAGAGGTCCTTCTATGAGATGGAACATGGAGAGCGTGGTGTTCGTCGCTGCGACGCCAGTACTGGTATGTTCGCTCCGATTGACATCACTACTTGATGGGAGACTGATGCTGGCTTATCTTGCTCCAGCAATTTATTGACGTCGCGTTGTCGTTCAGAACAGCGTCGCCTGCGGCTTCATGCAGTGCTCGGATCGTACTCCTCCCGATTCAGAGCTGCGAGGATAAGCTTGGATGGAAGATCTGGATTCTGAGCACCAAGCTTGAGAACCTTGATATTCATCCAGAAAATGCATCTTTGCTCCACTTACCTGGTCGCAATTTGAATGGCATAGCACAGATTAACACTGATGTCTTCATTATTGGCGGGGGCAACGCGTTAGTCCATTGTTCCAGTCCCTGCTTCTTCGTTGACTAACGATGCTGTAGTGCGGCAGCTCTCGCCGCTCGGCTCAAGACCTTTGGTGTCGAGAGCATCATGGCTGAACGAAATGCCCATGTCGGCGATAACTGGGCCAAGCGCTACGACTGCATGAAGTTCCACGTGCCAACTTCATTTTGCGACATGCCTTACACGAGTGAGTTAAATCGAGCGCCTCTAGAGACGGAGGTTCAGCTAACTAACCCGAGCAGGCTACCCAGAAGAGCTTCGGGGCCTTCACCGCCTGAGCAAGGATGAACTGGCCAATCACTTGGCACAATATGTCGCGTCATTCAACCTCAACGTCATCACGTCGGCAACAATTCAGTCGACGGTTTACAACAAGTCAAGTGTGAAATGGACGATTGAACTACAAACTCCTGTTGGAGTGGTTACAGTGACTGCTAGGCAACTAGTCCAAGCAACTGGTGTTTCCTCCCAGAGGCCTTATGTTCCTACTATTGCAAATGCAGAGGTCTACAAAGGAATCAACATTCACTCGTCGGACTACAAAAACGCAAGAGCATTGGCCGAGAAAGGTGTCAAGGTTAGTGGACAAGCTTCAGTATCGTCACACAGTCTAACAGATAAAGTCGGTTCTCATCATAGGATCAGCAAACACGGCTTTCGACATCCTCGGCGACTGCTACGCTGCCGGTCTCGAGTCAACAATGGTCGTGCGATCGCCGACATACATCTGCCCATTCGAGTATATCTGCAACGACGTCAGTCTAGGCGCGTACAACTTTGACGTCGCGCGTGGCGATAGAATGTTTCTCATGCTTCCGTCCGCCGTGGAAGGTCAACTCGCGCGAAACCTCTTCAGAGGGCTCGCGTCCAAGGAGCCAGAACGCTATGCCGCTCTTAGAGAAGCTGGATTTCCGGTGCTCGATAGTACAGACCCTAAGCAAGCGCTCTTTTGTAATTTGATCGAGAGAGCTGGTGGACACTATGTTGACGTCGGCGGAACAGACATTATAGCACGAGGGAAAGCCAGTGTCAAAGCAGGAGTCGAACCGATCGCGTTTACTGAGGATGGTCTTCAGTTCTCCGATGGAAGCTCTGCCGCCGCCGATGCCGTGATTTGGTGTACAGGTTTTGCAGATCGTGACGTTCGGTCCGTAGCCGCTGAGGTCCTGGGAGGTGAAGGATGTGAAAGACGCAATGCCAGCGATGAAAAGGTCCTTGGACCTCGCGAGATTGCTGATCGTCTCGACGCCACATGGGGCATTGACGCTGAGGGCGAAATACAAGGAATGTGGAAGAGACACCTGAGACTGGAGAATTACTGGGTCATGGGGGGTTATACGCAGCAGCATCGATGGCACTCGCGGACGTTGGCTTTGCAGATCAAGGCTGCCTTGGAGGGTATTCTTCCTCCGGCGTATCGGGAGACTCTTGGGAGAGATTAGTTGTTATCCCCCGACTTCCGAGGCGGTGATTATTGATCAAGTCTGACCGTTTCGTTGAGGATCTTCTGCTCGCGTGACTAGTCTGTAATGCTTAGTCTGTCTGATATCCCGGTATTCCTATAGTCCACGAATGGGAATTTATGGTCCCCTGGATCAATTTGCTGTCCTTGGGGCTGTCACCCTCCTCTGCGGACATCCCGCAATCCGACAAACACGTTATATTGCAGCTCCAGATCTAAACCTCCAGCGACCTGGATGACTAGAAAAAATAGAAGGAGGGAATAAGGCAGGGTGGCCCTCTAATTCGGCCTCGATGGCTTGTTCTGCACGTCATATTGATTCTGAGAATGACAACCAACTAAGGCATCTAAGCACCAGGGACTTCCCCTGACTTGCTTGACTCCTCCGTCCTCGCCTTGATCTGCACCGAAAACAGCGAGCCAGACACCCGACTGCCCGTAGATCCATGTCTCAGAGTAAGGTTACGCTCGTAAACCATCTATCGATTGAAGCGGACATAAGACGGTGAGTTCCGTACGGATACGGATGGCTGACCAAGTCTAGGTAGTCAGCGTGGACAAGGGTTGAGGTTATGGCGTGTTTCAAGGTTGGGGGCTAATTTGCCCATTATTCTTTGGTTCTACGGGCCCACACATCGTGCCGACAAGACAGGAACGGGCATCCAATTTGAATGAGGGGCGCAGATTGATTAGATGAGGTCGTATAGGAGGGGCACAGCAATGGATACTTTGCGTCCTGGTATTCAATCACTGCTCTTAATCGCTGTGCCGTAAAGCTTGTTTGCTTGTACTTCTCCTACGCGAACAGGCCAGCGGTGTAGGTATATTGTTGGTTTCGATTAATGTGTTAGGAATTATGGATAATGAAGCAGTGGCATACGTAAGTGGAAAGCAAGAAAAGTCCTGTGCATTTGATCCTCAGAAGGAATTTTTGGTGAAGAAATAAGTGACCTTCTCTCAATACAAAGCTATCTATCAAAACTTACAAAATAATTAAATAGGAACATTAAGTCTCTATACTGGCTATTCTTCATAAGACTTCATACGACTTCTCAGGTACAGTGTAGGAAATTTTGTCTGGGCTCTAGGGTAATGACTATTTTTGACCAAATTACAAAACCTCCAGACTCCAGCTATTATTTTCGACCCACGCAGCACCACTTTTCAATCCCGTCGGCAATGGTAAAAGCTTAGAATTTGATCATATTATGTGGAGACAAAAACAGTGACATGCAATTGCAAATCGAAGGGCCGAAATATGGGCTCCCAGCACAAAATCCACAGTGGAAAATGGAGTCATCACCAAACAACTGTCTATTATACCCAGGGATATCGGAACTCGGGATGAATAAACAACCCGAGTGCTTCAGATTTCCCTTTGAAGCTTCTGGAGCAAGTTCCCCGTGACTTCTTCTGGCAGACCCCTGAATTTGTAGCGCGTGCACAGACAGCTAGCTGAATACGATGTCTGCGTTTCAGTTATGGTGTATCTTAGCACGCTTCACAAACAAGAGCCACAATTGTCTGTCACTGCCAATGAAGCTTGTTTTTAAGCATTAAAAATTAAAAATAAAGGGAGAATTTAAACTTAAGTTACAACAGGGGCAGCGTAAAAATTGGTGCATCGTATCTTGACCACTCTCGGGCTAACCACGTCCGAGAAAATCCACCTGTCATGATTCCACTCTAATTTCCGGAGGGGTTAGCTTGTGTTCCTTTTCAGCCCTGTCCATCGGACGATGTCACTGTTTGGGTTTACCGCGATTAACTTTTGCTCTTATCGCGATCTGATGTCTCGATTTAGTCTGGGTTGGATTCTCGTGTGGAGGTCGATGCAAAACAACTACTATCCGCGCACCGAATACGCGTTGACTGATACAAAGAACTGGAGATTGACTATATGTGGCCCTTGCTAGTATGTTTGTCTCCCTGCGGCTCCATCCGAGAAACAGGTAGACGGGTTGCAGGGTGACACGTTCTAGATTAGGTCGATGGGTGACATGCTCTCGCGGTACGAATAATATTCCTCCAATCAGAGGACATCTCCTGTCAACGACACCCTTGAATGAGATCTGAAACATGAAAGCTACAAGGGCCCTCTCGAGCATTCCTCTCATGACACCTGCTATAAAGACCTCGGATCCTCCCTTCAAGTTTATGCCTTTCGTTCTACAGTTCAATAGTCTCTCTTTACAATCTAACTTTCTACACTCTTTAGCCCTGGTGGTTATCCTCTCTTTTACAATCTCACAACAAATCTCAACCCTCTTTTTTTTAACCAACAACAAGCCAATCCATCAAAATGAAGTTCTCCATCGTCTTCGCCGGCCTCTTCGCCTCCGCCACCATGGCCTCTCCCCAGGGCAACATCACCCCCAACACCATGGGCGCCCTCGAGCGACGTGCCTCCTTTCCCATCCCCGCCTCCAAGGGATCCGTCACCTACAACAAGGCCCAGACCATCTCCGGCACCTTCGACGGTGGCATGAAGACCTACGGCCGTGGCGTCAAGTGCACTGGTCAGGTCGAGGGCACCGACGCCGATGCCGTCTTCATCCTCAAGAACGGCGCTACCCTGAAGAACGTCATCATTGGCGCTGATCAGATCGAGGGTGTTCACTGCGAGGGCTCTTGCACCATCGAGAACGTCTGGTGGAAGAAGGTCTGCGAGGATGCTCTCTCCCTCAAGGGCGACGGTAACGCTCTCATCAAGGGTGGTGGTGCTACCGGTGCTGAGGACAAGGTCATCCAGCACAACGGTCTCGGAACAGTCACCATCGATGGCTTCACCGTTGTTGACTTCGGTAAGCTCTACCGATCTTGCGGTAACTGCAAGAAGATGGGCACCCGCAACGTTGTCGTCAAGAACGTCAAGGCCTTCAACGGAAAGGTCCTCACTGGCATCAACTCCAACAAGGGCGACATCTCCACCATTACCGGAACTTGCGCTTCTTCCGTCAAGGAGATCTGCGTCGAGTATGAGGGCACTGTTCCCGGCAAGGAGCCCAAGAAGATTGGCTCCGGTCCCAGCAAGGCTTGCAAGTACTCTTCCGTCAAGTCTTGCTAAGTGCTTTACCTTTGAGGCCTCGAATTGTATACTGAGGCAGTAATACTCTGGAGGATGGATGGATGTTGGATAAGGGGTTAGTAAGGTGCTTGAAGCACCTCTTGTTGAGGTTGGGAAAGCTACCAGTTCTGTACTTTCAACGTATATATCTCTTTACTATAAATACACTTCGTTGAACGAGAACTATTATCAGTGATCGTATTATGGACGGCTAAGCATTGTGATTGTTTAACCAAATTGACAGAGATACGATACAATATAATCAGTCATGTGAATACATGGCCCATTAAAACTTCTTGTAACCCTGTCCAGAGACAAAAGTCTGCTGCCAAACCTGCTGCTCCTTGCCCTCAGCAAGCTCAACATAGAACTGAGCATGACCCTCCGCAGTTGCTCCACTGTACATAGGTGTGCCATCCTCCTTTCTCTCATCGGCATAGTAGAACCTAGTATCAATCAGCATTATTTCTCGTGGCAGTCTCACTTGTAAACTCACCTAAAGCCTTGATCCTTGTATGAAGTTGCAGCGACTTCAATGAACCAAGCAGCTGCGGTCTTTCCAACACCTAGCGACATCATCGACGGAATGCGCATCTCATTCTCAATGTTGCCAGTGTAAATGTACGTTAGGCTACTGTTTTTGGCGAAGTCTTTCCAGCCCTTCACAGCTTCTTGGGCTGCGGCGTAAGCGCTAAAGATATTGACCGCACCGCTTGTCTTGAAGCTGTCCAAAGGAACTTGGAAAATGTCGTTGGGATCGTTAGGTGCGCCATGATAAGCTTTCAATAGATTAGATGGCGTTTCAGTAACGAATGCGATTCACTGACCGTTGTAGATGACGACGTGGGGATGACCAAACTCGCTTTTGACCTTTGTAAAGGCCTGGACGACGGAGTCTGTGTTGCTCAGATCTGTAGGGATATGTAGCTCTTTGTCGGTTGAAGTTGATGGATCTTGTGATCGTGAGGCCAGAGCTAGTCTATAGCCCTTTGCGCTAAAGGCTTGGGCGACACTTTTGCCGACCTTGGCACCAGCCCCAAAGATGAGAACGATGGGAGAAGACATGGCGATGATGGATTGATAGTGCAGGATTGAACGATATGATGTTAGAATGTGGAATGATGGTATTGACGGTCAAAGCTACTGGGGGGAAAGTCGTTACTTATATAACCTTGTTCATTACCAATACTGCATCTCGACTTTACTAAATGAATTTCTTGGTGTTTCATTGCATATCAAATTGGTCAGCGATGCTCAGGTAATCGTCGAGCCATAAGCAGGGGGACCATTTGCCTATTATGGTTAGACCCGAGCATGAATAAGCGTCATCTTGATGTCTTACCAAATACGCGCGCGTGCGGCATTCACTTATCTTTTCATACAGTGCTCTGCGACACGCCTTATAATATTCCAGATACGTGAAGACAGGTGACCAGAAACCAGTAATGACCACGACAAAGGTAAAGACCAAGATAAATTGTCATTAACAGTAGCTAAAAATCATGGTCGAGTAAGGCCCCAGATGAACATCACCTATCTCAAAAAGCATAGGCGCGTGCTTTAAGAAACATCCCTCGAGTAGTACACTCTTTAAGGGGGAGCAAGAACTTTGAAGATCGCCGCCATACGTTTTCTCCATAAATCACTATCCCAATCATCCACCGAAGGACCAAGTTCTTTGCCAGATAAGATTACTGTCGTGACGAGGCCGCACTATGTTCCTGGAACATGACACACCAAGATTGCTGTGAGGAGGTTTTATCTCTGCTGATATGTTCAAAAGCCTCCCGTGAAAAGGTTGCAGCGACCATGCCCAACAAATTCAACAAAGCTGTCTTCTCGAGAGCTCGGTTTGAGAGACAAACGTCCTTATCATCCCACGACTATCTTCGCACCAGACGAAGTCATCCACTTGCCCCAAGATAGTAAAAACCTTAAACACGAGGGTTGAGTATAGATCTGCGATGGCCTAAGCTTGTTGGAATATCCAAGTCAACATCGACTACCTCGTACTTTGTGCTGTTTTACCACTCGCCGCGATCCTTGGCCTTCTGAATCTCATCACTGAATGTTTGCGCCATGGCTCTCTGCTGCTTTTCAGACAGGCCGCTATTGGCCCAGCCGTGGTTGTGGATAATACGGTCTTGTCGAAGCTTCTCTTCTGACGTGTACGAGCTGATACTTGGCGTGCGCAAGCGTGGAGGGTTGTCGTAGCTAGGCTCTATCTGTTGATAGGACTTCCGCGTGGGATCTCTTCTGCCAAAGCACATTTTGATGCGTATTGGAGTGATGAAATAGTGGGAAGAAGTCTGAGTGGAAGGTGGGGAGAGTGATGAGTTGAAAGAGAGGATCAAGGGGGTATGAAACCAATTTATAGAAAGAATTATACAAAGTTTAGAGATCACGTTTTGTACCTGACGTCTCGTGTGCGGTTTAAAGAAAATTCTAAATGGTCAGATATCGAGTAACAAAGGCAAGATGAATTGAAAAAACATCACTGGCTGACATACTTTGCTGCGCTTTAGAACATCCGGTTACTCGAAAGCATAAGTGAGACTGGATTTGTTTGGCGAAAGCTACGAGACCAAGACACCTGACCTAGCAAAACCATGAAAAGGATATCGTGTCCAAATCCACCATCTGCGTTCAAAACTCAAATCTTAATCTAATAGGCAGCAACCGACTCTTGGTTTATACATAGTCGCTTACTGGTATTACTTCCCAACAGCTTTGGGGCAGCGGAACTTCAAAGTTACTTGTGAACCTTTCCGCACGGCGATTGGCCTCTACGAAACAACCTCGAGGATTCAATAAATCACAATGAAATAGCACTGATGTTAGAAGAAGAACTGGCCAAGATGCTAAATTTGCTGGCAATTATTCTGCTTCCAGCAACACCATGTTCTATCAATTTTCACCAAACCTCCGTTGATAAAGCAGATACTCATATTGAGTACTTCGCCACAACTTCCTCAAGCTCCTTTCTCATTTCCTCCTTCACCTCATCTTCAGCCCAGCACATATCAATAGCACTCCTGGCCAACTTCGCCATGTTATTATTACTGAACCCGCACATTTTCTTGACCAGGAGCCAATCATGCAAGATCCACGTATCTTCCATATAAGCTGGATCATCACTTCCAATAGCAATCGGAATGTCAGAGTCGAACAAGGTACGAATTCTAGGGAATATCTCGTCGACTGGCTCATGGCGAAGGTATCCCCATGGTGTGAGGGTCATTCCAATGCCTCTTTCTTTGATGCGACGCATGATTTCGGGATCTTGTGCGGCGTTGATGCCGTGGTCTAGACGGTCGGCGCCAGTCTCACCGAGGTCATGGACGACTTGGCGGATGTGTTTAAATGCGTCTTTGTTGCCGACATCGCAGTGCGCAGTGATGCGAAAGCCGTCCTTCCTGGCCTTTTTGTATATATCTTCGAACATCAGAGGAGGCCTATCATTTTCATCTGAGTCAAGACCGATTCCGACGACCATATCGCGGTAGGGAAAGACAGCGTCGTAGGTCTCCATAGCTGACTCTGGCGACATGTCACGCAAAAAGCACATGATCCACTTCGATTTGACCTGTAATTTGTTAGCAATGATCACAACTGAGACTGTATTCACTTACATCCAGCCTTACATCAGCCTCCTCCTGTGCCCGACGGAAGCCATCCATCATAGTCTTGAACGCCACTCCACGGCGCGTATGACCCTGCGGATCAAAGAACGGCTCACAGTACCTCACATTCATACCCGCAACATGCTCAAAATAATTCATGGCAAGGTCATAAAAGTCCTCTTCAGTAACAAGAACTTCAAATCCTCCGTAGTAAGCCTCGAAGAACGTGAAGCTCTCTTCGGCGTTGTCAATCTGATGACCTGGTCGGGCCTCCATGATGTAGTACGAGGCTCTGAGCTGCTCAAGATTGGTGTACACAGTTCCAGTGCGCTCGAGCTTGAGGGTCTGGTTATTGCGCTTGGCCAGTTTCCAGCGAAGTTCGGGGGTCAGAGTGCCCTCGATATGGACGTGGAGTTCAACCTTGGGAAGGTCGAGAATGAACTTATCGTCTGACTCTATGAGTTCTTGACGGAGCGACAGACGCTCTTCGAGGGGCATGGCGAACTCCATTTTAAAAGCTTTGAGAATGATTGGCAGTGATAAGAAATTTGAGAGATGTTTGTTGGATGAGATAACAGAACTTGAGGATAATGGATCAGCATTTTATACTTGTGAGGTTGTAACGCCCAAGTCAGCTAGTCCAGAATAGGGTCTCGCGATCTCACCCGCAGCGGGAATGGCGAGACTAAACCCGAATAGGCTGCTCTTCAAGCAAAATACCTCCGATCATTCGGGGTAAACTTGGTCAATGAATCAGAAACTCATGGTGTGACTCACCTTCGGTTTATCATGCCCCGAGGCGTATTCGCAGACTTTAGTTCTGAGAGACAGTGTATGTGATCATGGGTTGGAATACGCCTTGTACGACGGCCGATTGAGATTATTGCTCACTTTGTGTAGCTCGCATCGCCTCTTGACCACTGTATTCGCAACCTGTGTTCTCGTATACATGAAATTGTGTAACAGTAGTGCGCCTAAGCCTCCGGACTCGAATCTTTTCATAGGAAGGCTATTAATATGGCCCCGAGGTACTAATAATTCCCAATTCCTAAATATCTTGTCTACCCCGTGAGTGCAGTAACTCGCTTCGTCTTAAGTTTCTTCATCATGAGTCGTCAATCTTCCTCCAGAGACCATCTACGTCGGTCTGACTATGACAGCCTCGACCAAAGCCAAGAAGTCGAAAATGTGGAAATGCAAAGCCTCCGACCCGAAGGTTCTCTAATCATCCAAAATGTCTCAAGCAGCCCAAGCGACAGCCCAATGACAATAGGCTTTGCTGTCTGGCTGGCCATCGCCACATCCTTTCTCGTCTTGGTAGAAGCCGTCGTCTTTTTACCATGGCTCTGGTTCGAGGACAGGAAATCAGAGCCTTGGCGATGGCTCATGCTCAGTGGGCGAGCAACCCAGTCAATCACACTGATGAGTGTTCTTATAAGATGGGCCATCGGTACTCTCGCTGCTATCACGACATCTACGGCTGCATCAATTGCACTGGAAATTCATGGCGTACCAATGTCAGCTGTCGCAGAAGTATCCATTGCCCGCTTCACAAACAGCGGACCGCAATCGTTGAAGAAAATGCTTCCTGGTGCAACATTCAGACCTTGGCTTCGCATCCTCATGATCTGTCTTTTTGCGCTCGTTGGGGCTTCACAGTTCGCGTCTACCTTGCTAGTTTCTGATCTTCGAGGACTCACCATTCTATCGTTAAAGAAGAACATGACTTATGGATTCAACTTTGGAGTGATAAATGACTCTACATCCCCAGATTTGAGACCTCTACCTATAAGAAGAAACCATTTAGAGTACTGGAATAGAGTCCCGTCTCAATTTGAGATATTCGCAGAATATTCAGAACCTGGAGAGTCGTCTGAGGAGTTGGACGACACTGGAACAGTCTTGAGAGCCTTTCTTCCGATTTCAACCAAGGCTCAGAGGGAGTCTATCCAGTCCTTCAACGGCATTGCTCGAGTTATCGACACTCGTGTGATATGCGTACGGCCCAGGTTTACTGCTAAATACTGTCGCTCGCAGGGTCAACAAGGCGATTGGTCCTTATATCTGAATGCGACAGTAGATTTATCAAACTTCCCACCATATCAAATTTACAACAATACTAGCTTGAGAATGGTACCCGGAGGTCATGGCAACCAGATTTCAAGCTCTTTCAGCTGTCGAATCCCGAGACAACGGTCGTTCAATAACATATCCACGAGGTGGTTACTCTGCAAGTGCGAGGACATTTTTGAACAGCGTAGGATGGTCGCTCTTGATTCACCTTTAACAAAATTTACAGAAGGCTGGGCATTAAACCATGCGGAAGGATATCGCTTTAAACTATTGGCCGATCTATCATCCATAGAGGATAGTGAGCTATCTTTTGAGTCAGAGACAACAAATGCTACCTGGACTCTTCTGAACTCGAGCAATTCTGGCCCCTGGGCTCAGCAGTGGAACCAAGTGAAGCTCAGAGACGGAGTCAAGACAAGAGATGAATACATACAGATCACATTGTGCTTAGGGCCTGAGCTTACATCGGAGTAGGGATTATGTTCAGGCATTGGCTTTGTGAGCAGGGGCTAACGGGAGTACAGGGTCGAGCACCTTAAAATAACAGCAAATACTACTTCAAGCCTGACTGAGCCCGATTATAAATTCGACATAAGAAGTAATGAGTATGATACTTCTGATATTCTAAGACAGCTCGGCGCTGCTGGTACGCAGGACGTAGTAGCAGCATCCAGCAGACAGATACTGAATTTATCTCAGAGCATGCTGAATCAGAGTCTTCAAGAGAGGCTCCAGAGAACGACAACTGAAAGAACACCTGAAGATGAGAGAGGAAATTGGCTATCAACCTTGGAGTTTCCAAACCTGGCTATTTGTTCTTCATGTGACTTCGCTGGTTCAGAAACCTCCCCGATGGTCACAGTCAGTCCTCTAACTTGGCAGATCTTCAGCGACATTATAGGTACAACAGACTCACCTGACGTGGCAATACAAGCTTTGACTACACTCGTTTGGCGAATGGCATACTGTGACCATATAACATCTTATACTGAGGCGATACAACCAGCGAGGGTCACAACGTTCGATCTCGTTCAGGCGCCAGCTCGAAAATGGGGGTTTGTCGTTAATGGCCTTCATAACCGGGAACATCATGATATTCCTGGTCATGGCCTTCATTTTCCCGTCTCATACCGAGTCAAGTTTTCTAGAGAATGCATGGCACACTGTGGCCCAGATATCTCAGAGCGACAACGTTAGGCCAATCTTGGAGAGAGCTACTCTTGCATCAGACCAGGACGTTGGACGGATGATTCGGGCTGAGGAGCCACCAAAGGACTTGATGGGTAATGTGAAAGACTTCTTTTGTGATGTAGGGCGAATGTTCAGTCAGAGGGGGACCAAAGAAGAGAGATTGGTTGTGAAAGATGGAGTGCTTGTCGAAAGCGTTCAGAATAATCACAGGCCGACTGGATTCTAGGTCAAGAAATCATGATGCACGTCAATGCGCTCTCTGATGCCCCAAGAGGTTGACTCATTGCGACCAACTTCTTGGAGTACATCTCATATTCCACAACAACATAAAGAAACAGATAATTATCTCTTCGAGACTATGTTCAGCTGAACAGCAGAACGGATGTCCGGAGTAGACAGAGGCGTTTTTAAGGTCGTAATTTCACTAAGCATAAAGCTAGCGAGCAAAATGGCACGTGTGGCGTTGACTACTGGGCACTACTACAGAAATCAGCCCCAACACCGTTAGCTTGCGTGGATGACAATCGATAGTTCTGTCTCGGCTGTGGAAATGACAGGGGTTTAGTGACAGCTGAGATCAATAGCTTCAAAGACGCCAAGCCCCCTGACGGTATAAGAAGCCACTTCCACCACCACTGATGAATGGTCTCTCTTTGGAACCTTTAGGCGATTTAATTCTCACCTTAGTCTTTCGTTAGCAATGCGCTTCTACGCCTCGCTTTCTCTAGCCTTTGGGCTTGTGGCTGCCAGCCCATGTAAGCCGTTGGCTTCAGGTATATTGACCTACCTCTAATACTTTGTCGGAGTACGGTTTGACTGAGAGAAAATAGGTTCGACCGCTGACTCTGTGACTTTCTCTTCTTCTGCAACCCACATCTTTAGCACGTTGGCTGAGTCCGTGACCTCCACGGCCGAAACTCTCGCTACTGAAACTTCAACTGGGATCGAATCTGAGACATCGACTGCGATCGAAACCACCGTTGCTGAAGTCTCTACCGATGCCACCATCTCGTTTTCTGAGACGTCGTCTCAGGAGACCTCAGGCTCGACGCTGTTCACATCAGTAACTTCTGCTGACACGACCACCGCCGCTTCAACCGAGACAACAGCTGTTGAGACGTCTGCAGCTACGACGACCGCAGCTGAGACTTCTACAGCCATTGCAACTACCACCACATCAGAAGAACCTGTCCCCACGGACCATCTCCTCATCGCCGGTCCAGGCTCCGTCCAAGGCCTCCCCCTCAAATCAACGACTACAAATGGCGATGTAATCACCTTCGCTGACCGTACATCAAAATGGACAGTCGGTCGCTTCGTCGTGGATGACACCACCGGATACCTCACCCGAGACGGCATCCCCATCTGCGCAAAGTACGTTTTGATGAATCGATACGCCGCCTTGACTCCTTGCTCAGCCGAGTACTACCAGTACGGCACGGCTCGTCTTGTCTGTGCTCGAAACCCTGCGGCTGGTACTGCTCTTCAGTGCTCTGCTGTGAAGTTGGACTGTGTGCAGAGCGGACCAGGTGACAGCCAGAGATGTACTGTTTCTACCGAGGCCAATTGGACCAAGTTCTTTATCAACCCCGACAAATCTGTGTACCTCGGTGCCGAAGATTTGGTAACGACGTTCCTAGAGCCTGTCGACATCTTCGTTGATCGAGCCCCAACTGTCGTTACCCCTACGGCGCCTTAGTCTAGAGGTGGATTACCAAATGCATATGGTCTTATAACGCGCTTTCACTTCTATGTGTCTATATACTAGTAGTAGATAGATAATATCGTACTATATTACCTTCTGTCTTGGTAGCAGGTGTTTACGTCTTACCCTTGGAACTCATCACTCTAAGTATCAGCTAGCTACTAAACATATTGCCTGTCTTGTAAAGTTATTAATCTTAACTATAAACTTTAACAACGCCGTTTTGTCGCTGTTTGATACGGAACATCTACTATTTCCGTTGACTTAACTCTATCCTATTAAACACCTACAGCTCTAATAGAGCCACGACGAGGCAGGGTTATACGACACTGTATATGTCAGCCGATTTGGGCAGTAGATCTGTCTTGATACTTGATAGTCGCCTGGCCTGCATCATTGTGGCCTGTGGCAATACGGCAGAGAGGGGTGAGGAGCCATGACGATACGTAAAGGAGAAATGACGTGGTTTAGAGTTTCCAAAAGCGAGGCTATCTTTGAAGATTAAGTATGCTATGTTTCATGACATTGACCACGGCTACATAATTAGAGAGTCTGGCGTTCCGAAATCGGCGATCAACACAATGAGGCCCTCGACCTGCAAGTGTCTATTGGCTTGGAATACAAAAAGATCGATCAGCATCAAATCATAACGGCACGTCAGCCTCACCGGACGGAAGACCCGAAGAAGACAGACCATGCATTGCGACTATCAGCTTGAGGACTTGGCGCCTAAAGCGCATGAAGGTGGAGACCTTACAGTTTTCATTGGATACTTGTATCAACCGCTAGGGATGATCTACAAGACCATTGTCCAGCTACCATACTAGACCTTGTTTGTGGGTAGTTTTCTTGGTGCCTGAATGCCCAACCGAGACATATGTCTTTCCTTCACATATATGCCGTCCCTTCGAACTACTACCTATCCTCTCACGTTACATTCATATCACGATCTTGGCTAATCTGATTTCTTTGTGTCATGATCCCGACCCCAATAATAGTTCAAGGTGGAGGAGGATGCGACATCGACACAACTACACAGCATCTTCCGTCCCCACCTCTCCCTCCTACGTATTTTACGCCTCCCGCGCCTAATGATAACCCGTCTATTTCGCAATCAATTAAAAACTGGTTGTCAACCTGCCACCGTCATCACAGCGATACCTGTGTTAGATCATCTTCGTCATCTAGCATAGAGCCGAAAACCTCTTGGCTTATTGATGTCAAGGATCGCTGTATAGTACGAGGGAATGTTTCAAGTGACTATCTGGCTCTTAGCTATACTTGGCAGAATAAGACAATTCAGGTCGAAAAGGACGCCGAGTTACAGCTATTCAGCAACAATATCGACATATTAGCGACCGTTAATGCGCTGGAGCAGTATAGATCGAAATTGCCAAAAGTTATACTGGATGCTATAGAGTTAACTAGCGCCATTGGCAAAAGATACCTATGGGTGGATAGACTCTGCATAGTTCAAGACAATCCAGACAAAGCAGCAGAGTTTTCATCAATGGATCGTATTTATTCGGGCGCCTGTGTGACGATTGTTGCTGCAGCCGAATATGGGATGTTTTCTTCTCTCAATGCGACTATTCACACTCCAGAAACAAGGCATCTAACGTCTGTTCGCTGCTCAGACTCAGATTTAAAAAATCCCATCAAGCTAGCCAAGGCCGCCAAAGCAGATCGCATCCAGTCTTACTACGAGACATTGTGTCGGTCTAAGTGGGCACAAAGAGCTTGGACCTACCAAGAGCACATTCTCAGCAAACGGGTCGTCTTCTTTCTGGGCTCGCAGATATTCTAGCAGTGCGAGTGCGCAGTCTGGGATTCAAGCCAACTTCGACCCCAACAGGATGACGAACGTTCATCTGAGATTTTATCGGAAGTAGCACCTATGAGGAAGCTCTCTGTACCAACGTGGCCCGACTTCAGTATTTATGCTGACCTGGTTTGCCCCTATAATGGACGGGAGTTATCGCATAAAGAAGACGGTCTATCCGCATTCCTAGGAGTCTTGAACTATCTGGCTCCTGCATTTCCTCAAGGCTTCTCATTCGGGCTACCCAGGCTTTATATCGATCATGCACTACTCTGGCAGCCATTGAGAGGGACCTATCGTGTTGCATGGAGCCCAGAAAGCGGCGGCCACAGGCCAAGCACCCCCGCAGCCCGAAGGCCCACTCTGCCCTCTTGGGCCTGGTGTGGATGGCAATGTTTTATTGACCCCGAGAGCTTTCGATCAGCTCTAAACATTGGTCCAGATGGCCACGATAAACCAAGCATTGAGAGCTCCTGGAAACTGCGAAATACCGTCACTTGGGAACACATGGCCTCATCAGAAGAATCTGCGCACGACACATTATCCATACCGAATCAAATTTCAGCTTCGGTAGCTCGCGCATTCTTTCTCCCTGTGGCAACCTTGGGGTTTCAATATGCGTCCACTATGAGAAGATCTGCATTTTACTGGGCGTTCGCAAACCCGGTGTTAGTCGATAACCCCCTAACTAGTCTGTCCAAGGTGGTTGTCGTTCGAGATACAGCGGGAAAGTTTTCAGGCCTCATTCGTATCACAGGGGATGCGACGTGTAGAACAGGAGAGCCCATTGAGCTTATTGCAATCTCGCAAGGAAGTGTGAAGGGCAAACACTTTCGGAGCTCCTACGAGGAAAAGGTTCTCCAAAGGAGTACGTACGCAGATCCAAGGCGTTTCCACGCCGTATATGATCGCGATGGGCGATGGGTCGGTAGTGAGGATAAGATATCCCGGGAAGACGGCCATAACTACCGAGTTGTCCCTGAAGGAGAGTATGAAGAGAGTCTTGATCTGCCAGAATATGCAGATGATCAAGAGTACCAATTTTACAATGTTCTCTGGGTGCAGCGTGGAGAAAATGATGTGGCGTACCGGGCTGGCTGCGGACGCGTGTTGGCGGAAGCTTGGGAGAAAAGTAATCCTGAGAACATAAGAATAGCTTTAGGTTAGAGGATATCTTTTCTACAAGTTTCTGACAATACACAGCGCCGATTTAGATTTTGCCCAGGACTCGTCCTGTACCAGTGTTATGTTTATTTATATAGCTATAATGTAAATTTGCTGGTTCATCTTAAAGTATATAGTACTCAAACGGTCGAGCAGGGCCCTTGTTGGTTAAAGATAGGCAAATCTGCTTACTATTTTACACTGTTTTAGAAAGACTTGTTAATTTAAAGTAAGAATATAAAAGACTGATACTATTTTGCTATGAGTACTAACTCTCTAGGGCTTGAAAGTAATCAATATAGTGTGGTAAGAAAGTAAGTTTCTTTAGTCAAAGAGGAGCGAGCCCAACACCACTTTGACAGGCACTGGGCACCAGACGCAGCCCCTGTTCACAAGGAGTTCCTTCGGGAAAACCAGCTAGGCTTTTGTATGCAATTTTCAACTAGCTTATGGTCTAGTTCTTAATAAAAGTAGACCTTCTCTGTCAGAAATGGAGTTCCGCGTATTGGTTTAGCGATGATGCGATCTTCTCGTTGAGGGAGACGCAGATCTGCACTACGGCAGCTATCATGTGTGAATTCTCGGACGTAGGCATTGTGGCATGTGGGATTGTACGCATTGGTGGCACGAACAAAGCTCGATTGACACAGGTGATGGTGCTTTATTGCAAACAGATTCGGCGCCATTGAGCTATTCGATCAACCCAAAGAGCCTTATATAAAAATGAAATTAGATATAGTTAGCTTTGAAGGCAGTCTTTCTTAACTACAATTAAATCAGTCATCCGAAGGAGGGGGGACGTCTCCTTTGGCGTTAACCTGGACTCCATCATCCAAGCCGGGAACCAGCTCACTTCCTACAACAGTGATCTCCGTATACGGCGGCGGCACAACCCAAATCAGATCAAACCTGTCGTCAGGGTACTTCACTTCGCCAGTCCACCCAGTCTCCCTCGCATATCCCTGAATACCAATTGCCTTAGCAATACCATCAAGGGATTCATGCTCCCAGCAAAGCAGTAGATTTCCGGGACCCTCGAAGGACAAGGCTTTGCTTGCAGCTCCAGCGTAATCATCCCGGTCAATCTTTTTATAGACCTTCAACCCAAGCGCATCTGCCAACGGCTCCACGGTCTTCCAAGGGCGATCACGACCGCCACCTACTTCAATTAGAACGTCGCTAAGGAAAGATGTAATCGGGGGCACCGACCGTGATGAGGATGCTCCGCCATGATGTATCCAATATCATAGGACGAATTCGTTCCAAAGACATTGACAAGATCATTTGCACGCTCTTTGCCTTGAGGAGAGAGTCCATCTGGTTCTATCCCGTGTACTTTGGCGGGCTTTTCTCCATGTCGGATCATGTAAATGGTAGGCTTTGACTACTGATGTGTAAGCATTTCTTTCTGGCCAGCGGAACGTAAGAGGACTGACTGATGTTTCATAAGACATTTTGTCAAGGTTAGTCTATTAGATTATCGTGTGCAATTGTCCGAGAAATTGAATGGATTTAGAACGGGTTTAGGGGTCAGAGAGAAAGGATCAGGATCTGATGGTTTAAATTTACGCAGGGAAACAAAAATAGAACAGCAACGGGGGAATATATAAGCAGCAAGATCAAAAACGCCAACGGTCCAGACTTGGCCTCAAAAGGGTCAGAGCGGCATCGCACGAATAAAAGACAGAGATGAGCTGGACTTGTCTCAGCCAGTCTGCACGTCTCTCTAGTCTATGGGGATGTGGCTAGCTGAAAACTTCGCGGAAGCTAGCGACGGCTACCCGGCATTCCTCCCGCAAGCCCCTCAGTCGTAGATGAGGGGTTGAGAACTACGAATTTGGGCTGTCTGGTCTTGGCCGGCGGTGAATATCAAGAGGAGAGCTGAGCCATGGCCATTCTGGAGACATAAACAGGAAATTGATATGTCACATTTCGGGATTGTCTAGACAATGACTGCTTGCTCAGGGTACAGATGTTAGGTGCTAATTTAATAGATCATTAGCGTATAAATATAAGCTGACGTAGACTGAACGCGTTGCCTCGTATATGTACAGTACTAATGTTAATATAACTACTAACTCTGTTATCTTACAGATTGCCATGGCAGTTTAATGCTTCGCGCTGTGGGGTGTAGACGAATTGCTTGTTTTATTTATAAGTTAGCTACAAGTACAGACTTAGCCTACTAATGTCTTGCAATTGTTCCAGGGTTGTTATTTATAACAACTTCTCTCTGTATAAAGCCTGTACTAATTATTAATCCAGCTTCTATTATATTAAACCTAAAGTATATTTTCTAATCTTATAATTAACTTATAAACTCAACTCCATTACTACCTTTTAATTACCTTAAACCTTTTTCTTAGCCCTAATTATACTAATATATATATTATTATAAAACTTTTTATTAAGCTTTTCTTATATATTAGTATTTCTTAATAATTCTAATAGCTATATACTATACTTATAGGAAGTCCTTCTTAGCTAAATTACTATCTATACCTTAAATATAAATATAATTTAAGCTAGATTTTACTA